ACCTGAAAGAGAAGCCCTTAAAGGAAATTCACATGAGCAGCAGTTAGAAAAAGTAAGGTCATTGCAAAAAAATTAAAAGATTTTATTGCGAGAATAGTGGAGGACAGCAGTGGTATTTCTGAATTAGAATACTTTCTTACATGGAACATAACAGAAGATGTCTCAAACCGTTATGCCAGTTACAAAGTCTACAGAACAGTGTAATAAAATGGATAGTAACAGACTGCCAAGAAGGAGTGACCTCCTACTAATGTCCCTGACCTGGGCCCCAAGGAGGTAGCACACTTCCCTACAAGTAGGGTCTGGCCAACATATGGGGCCCTCTTTTCCTTAGAAGGGAGTCACCTATAACAATTACCTACTTCTTTCCTTCTCAGTGGAAGCAGTCTTGAGGTGTGGAGTCAACTGCTTCTCCGTAAGCAACCTCCTGGATGGACCTTTCATTGCATCCTCACTTATATCTCCCTTGAATTCCAGAGCTTCAAACCTAGTATGTAGGGGCACTTGGGAAGCGAGATAAGATAGGGACAGGGTTTGCTTGCAATGCTGAGCTGGGACCTGTTTCCACCCCTCCTCATCTCATAAATCCCTTTCCTCTGCCCAATGGTGGCAGGGCATCCACACTGTTTGGAGGGGTCTCACCCCAGTGCCTGTCTTGCAGGTATGGCAGTGAGTCACTCCACCAGTCTATCTCCTCGCACTCCCTGATGATCTTTAACCTCTCTACCATGTTACTGAGCAGATCAACCACTTGCCCACACTTCACACAAATTATATCCCTGCTGCCCTCCACTGGCAGCAACAGGCTCAGGCACTCCCTGAGCCACACATTTTTTTGGCAGGCACTCCATCTGAGTCACCATATTGTTTTTGTCAAGAATTTTCTGCCTTGCGGAAATCGCAGCCGGATTTGTTGTCTGGAAGGCAGCTCATAGGTGAGCCAGTCTCCTCAGTGTGGAGAAATAGTCTACATCCTCCCTGCTTGCCTCCCTCCAGGGAGAAACTGCCTGCATCGTGCCCATCTGACATGCCATGTCCTGTTTGCCACACTCCTGGTTGGCTGTACTCCCCAGGGCTGGGTTAATACACACAGAAAGTGTTAGGAATTGATTACAGTTTTCCCCTCAACATCATATCCTAACAAATATTCCATACCCTAATTACTTCACTGATACTCCATGAAGACTATGTAAATGACACCAATTTTGTAGTACTAGTATCTAATTAAGTAGATCAATCATAAGGACAATACAGTACAGCATTAGGAACATCTCACATAGTTGTTCTGCTCACAAAGAAGCAGAATTGCTTCTGACAGGTTCATGGCAATACAAGGCAAAGTATTCACAGGGAGGCCAGTAGTCATATAAAGAAAGAGGAGTTAGAACTTGCCCAACCAGTGATCTCCGACTACACAGCAATCCATGACAAGACAGAGCCTAGGTCCAAGACAGGCTCCCCCTACAGTAGCAGGCCCTTGTATGACCTTGGGTCTACCCCTTCTAATCATGTGGAGTACAAAAATTTTGCCTGTGCCCCCTAGGCCAGCCTCACCCCTTCACAAGGTGCTCAATCACCAGTTCAAGCCATGACTGAACAGTATACCTCCAACAGTATTCATAGTGTTTTTAAAAAGTTAAAAAATGATCTAAAAAATGTTAAAGATGGTCAGAGTCCTCTTACTTGAACTTCTGTAACTGAGAAGTCTATCCTTTTTCTCTCTTCATACCAATGTTTTCAAGAAATTAAACATATAAATACAAAAAGGATTTGATCGTATATTCCTTCCGTAAGGAAACTTAAATATCACCTCACCAAGTCCAGCACATTTTATTTAAACTCTACTGCTACTGCAAAAGCTGTAGATACCTACTCACACAAAATGAACAAATGAAGACAACACCATGAACATTTTCAACACTTTATTCGGTTTTCTGTCAGGTCTAAAATACACGTTAAAAAAAAAAAAAAAAAAAAAAAAAAAAAGAGGAAAGAAAAAGAAAAGAGTCAGAGCCTGAGATATTCAATATAAATCAAGAATACCTTCAGCTAAATAAAGCCTATTTTTCTGTCCTCCCATTTCTCTTGGTGGCCTTTTTCTTTTAAGGCAACTAGGTGAGCTTGACAGCTTAAAACAACACAGTACGTCACAATAATATAAAGATGAGCCAAGTCTGAATCCCAGCCTGACAATTCAAAGAATTTCCCAATGTTAACACATTAGCATCTCTTGAAAAGCGATCCTTCTTAACTTTTTAGTTCATCTCATCCCTAATGATGCAGTATGCCTCCCTTTCAGATTTATCTGCCAACTTTTCTGAACGGCACATTTTTCAGTTCATGTTTCCCAGCCACACTCCTTTCCCAGCTGGTTTCTACCTATATTGCAATTGAGTAGAGGCAGTTTTAATTCATTAACACAGGGACTTTATTCTTGCTGTGGGTTATTCAGTTCCCATTGTCATGTTGTAATTAGATGAGTTTCTTTTACTTTCCTATCTAGAAGTATTAAATGTTACAGACTTTATCAAACTGTTGTTACTACCTGGTTCAACACGGTACATAATAATGCCAGCCTGATCCTATGGGATCACGACTTCAGCACAGAAAACTGGCCTGAGTCCCTTTCAAGGAGTGTTTCCTTCAAGCACCTCAAAATCCATCTAATATCTACCTTAAAACCTGCGTATCTTTCATTATTTTCATCAAGATAGTAATAGTTCACTTAAGTTTATCTCTAAGTTTAACATTTTCCCTAGTTAGGTTGGTGGAAATCATCTTCAACCTGTTTCACCACAATTCAGTTAACACTTACCTCAATACAGAGACCAGTGGACTCCATGTCAACATCATTAGGATGCTTTTACTGCAAGTTCACATCATAGAACCTAGGGCAAACTGCACTCACAGCCTATTTTTACTTAGTGTGCCATCTTACAGAGATCTTAGAATTGAATATGACCAAATATTCAGATGCACATCTCTTCTGCTTTAGACCTTTTAAATCTTCTAAAACTCTTTCCAGTCCTTTGTATGTAATCTCTTTCCCTAATAGATTTCATTTTTCAGTATCTCCATATCCATCTTATGTAGCTACTTACCTAGCTTCTACATATTTTTTTCCCACGTGTTTAAGTTCCCCATTTTTAAAATGGGGACTCGTGACTGGCTCTTCACTTGCTAAATCAATTCTTAATCACAGGGATGGAAAACAGTTAACTATTACCCTGCAATACACTGAGATTTTTCTCCTTGGTTTTGTATGGCGCCTGCCTGTTTCTCCCTGCTTTCATCACATCTTTAAGCTACCCCTACCTTCTTCAAGTACGCTCTCTTGAAGTTTTTTTCCATTATTTTTAATGAGCGATGGTGCATGTACGAATATTTTCTCCCATTCTTTTGCCCACTTACTATAACACACATTCAATTTCTGTATCATGCTTGACTGTTATAATTGCCTCGGTAAATATATACAAGGGCTGCTCCAAAAGTTACACTTCTTGTTTTATTTACACTGGCCCATTACATCCAAAGCAAACGGTGATGGTTTGGCAGTAAAGAACCTTCCCACCAACATTCCATTACATTTTGTTGCTGTGCAACAGATGGCAGCAGAGGGGCTATCTGACAAACTAACCTCCAACATGAAAGTGCATATGAAACAAAGGTCTGTCACTGAATTCCTCCATGCAGAAATTGTGAGCACAGTGCAGGTGTGGGTGGTGCATTTAGGCAGTGGCAACAGCAGCGTGAAAGACAGGCCACATTCTAGATGGCCATGCTCAGCTGTCACACCTTGAAATGAAGAGTGTCTCAATCAGCTCATCCACGCAAACTGTGCAAATATCATTACTGGTGACAAGATGTAGCGTCACCACTACAAGCCAGAGCCAAAACGGCAAACCAGGGGGTGGTATACATGTTAATTCCACACATAAGGAAAAGTCTAAGATGCAGTTCTCAATGGGTAAAGTGATGTGCATGGTCTGCTGGGATAGGAAAGGAATGATTCTCCTGGATTTCCTAGAAACTGGACAAATCATCACCTTGGACTGCTACATCACGACACTGCCCAAGCTAAAGGCTTTTACTTCCAGAATCAGGCCAGAGAAGACAATCTTTCTCTTGCAATGCAGTAACACCAGGCCCCACACCAGTTTGAAGACTGTGGAGCACACTGCCAATCTTCGCTGGACTATCCTTCCACACCTACCAAATAGCCTATAGATTTGTTGCCTTCTGACTTCCATCCGTTTGGGCCAGTGAAAGATGGACTGCATGGACAACATTTTCCTAGCAATGATGCCATCACAGCAGCTGTGAAACAGTGGGTCACCTCTGTTGGTGCTCTTGTTCATTACTAACGAAAATGCACAGCTAATGGTGGTGGCTATGTTGAAAAATAGTGTTTTGCAGCTGAGAATGTGCTCTCTCAAAGGAGTGTTATTGTGCTGTTTGCATCTGTTTTACTTCTCATGGAAATAAATAGGAGTTGTTACTTTCAGAGCAACCTACGTAATCTATTATTCTTTCTACAATTCAGGATAAATAGGATAATCATCTTTGTCTACTTTTTTTTTTCCCCCCCATATAAAAACAATTAAATCAGCCAAACAAACAAAAAACTCACAACTTTCTGTCTACGTTACTTTTCTTTCTTCCCATAAGCCTGCTAAGTAAGAGATTACTACTTGTGCTTCACGTGATCTACTTAGGTATCATTCTCTCTGACCAAGCTGCAACAAGTAGCGTTCTATTTTAAATTGTGACCACATTCTAGAAATTAATTTCTAATGACTTTTATAACACCAGTATTACAGTTAAGCCTGAGACACAACTGTCAGTCTAACTTTTAAATCAACTAGCAATTTTAGAAACAATTCAAAAATGATTAAAATGTTTCTCTCAGCACAGATAGAAACTAACAGACAGTCCTCTATTTCAAGTGTACTGTTTGGATAGCACAATTTAAACAGAAGAATAACAGTAGTAATCAGCATTAAAAAATGGGACAGCTCAATTAAAAACTGCTTTAATTTTCTGCGTTGATGCATCTGGAATGTCATCGACTGGTTGTATTGAATTGTGCAAAATACTGACTTGTTGGACAATTTGAATATTCTTCTTCTTTAAGATAAATGTTCCTAGCAACAAATAAACAAATAAAAAAATGCAGTTAGTGACTGTTTTCTCAGTACACAGAACTTACTTGAGAAACCTAAGAAAGATGTAATGCATAAATTCATAATGCTCATAAAATTCAGAATTATTGCAAATGGAATTAAATGTAACTGTTCTTGCAACATGAATATCATGTCTCGATACCGCAAATTTTATTTTTCATCCTAAAGTAACCTTCCAGATCCTCACAATGAAAAACTAAATTATCACAATTCAGAATTTTTGCTTGCATAATAAGAAAGCACCAAATATTAGGAATTCTTTTGCAAGATGTATAGATGGATATATGATAAGAAGGAAAAAAAAGTCAGATTGGAGGATTAGAACATTGAATCAGCCGGCTTGACTTTTTTCCCTGTCGTCTTCCCTCTTTCTCAGCACATCAGAAACAACACCTATACACCATGATCTGTCAGTGGTTAGCTACAAAATCAGCTAGTTTTGACATAATGTCAAAGCTCCGTTTGTGCGATCAACTTTACTTAGAGCTATCAGAAACTGGAAACTTTTAATGAAGTGGGTGGACACCTATCCTGTTATTTATTTCAAAAAAGGAAGGTAAATGAAAGAAACACATACTGTTTCATACCCACTAATATGATTGGCTGTCTAACTGTATTTATTTGCTCTTCTGTTATCTATATAAACTTAGCAGTCTGTTGTCAGTGGAACACTGCTAAGAATTTCAGCTACTATTCCATATATGTGGATCAGTAAACATCACAATCTAGTCTTTGAAGGTGTTTCCAATGGTAATGAAAAGCATTCTTAATCTAAAATGCTAATATTTTAAAAAAGTATAATTTTACAATAAATTCGTTAGAAAAGAAACAAACTTAAGATAAGCAGAGAAGTTCTTTGAAAGCCAAGCAATTGCACTAATGGCAAAGAGTTTTTCTGAAAAGAAATCTCTCTTATCACTTACTTTGATTTCTGCTCCTGGGATAGTTGTGCATTTATGCTATCTAGAGCTTGGCGGCATTCCCGATTCTGTCGTGCTTGATGCCGCTCTAAAATTAACTGTGCTCTTGCAGCCTGCATGCTTTGCCTGTCCCATTCAGCATCTCTTTGGCGCTCCTCCTCTTTTAATCTCTACAAGAGGGGAAAAAAAAAAGCTTCATTTTTTCTTTACTCAAAGACAAAAATCCTATACAGAGTCTTATTGGTAAATTCATCCAAACAACAAACTTGCTATCCTTTACTGAACACTAGGGGTAGCACTCGAAATAGGGAGAAAAAGTACACACTTGTGAACAAGGTAGGAGCACACGCAGTAGACAGTACTAAAATAGTTTAGATCAGGAAGCTACTCTTTTCTAAGGAGCATACCCTAGAAGAGACTCCTACTTTTGCAAAAGAAGAAGGTAAGAAATGTAGGCCTGCTGTCTGGCAGAAATACTGTCATTAGACTATTATTTCTTTTCTACATCCTAGCTCTTTCCAAAACACATAGATTGGCAAGATTACTATATATATATATATATATATATATATATATTTTAAGTTCCCAGACCCAAATAATTTCTTTATCATCTCTGTGATACTACCACTTCTACTGCATTTCTTATCTGATATCACTGTGAACTGAATCAAGAACAAGCCAGCAAAAACCTTCTCGCTTTCACATTCAGCTCCCACACTAAATGAATTAAGTAGCTTCCTATATAGTAATACCTATGCCAACACACTTCTGACTGCAAAGGAGATATACATTTCTTCATTTAGACTGCCTCCATCCATCCACCTGTAGAGCATCAATTACTGGCAATATTTAGTCTTTCTATTGCAATCCCATCTCAGAGCATGAGTCATAAATGTGCAGGAAAGTAAAAAGGAAATTCAGGAATTTCAAAGACTGTGAAATATACATGAGTAGTATCACTGGATAGGCTCTCTTTGTCTTGCTCAGGTTTCATGTGTCCATGAGGGTCGTTTCAGATTGTCTGTCCTGCTGTGACTGTCAGTTCCTGGCTCCTCTTCCCCTATGGAGAAGACCATTTCTATTCCTGCTCATCTCCTGCTGGCAGTTCTTGCTGTTTCAAGTCCTAAACTGAGCATCATGAAGCCTGGCCTTTGGGCTGTGTAGGGCTTTGATCCCCAGCTGGGTGACCATGGACCATGCCCCAGGATTCTCAAGGCCCCCTGGCCTTGATCTTCACAGCAACCTACCTTTCAGCCCAACTCCAAGGAAGGCTCCAGCTTGCTCTTGCTCCTCTCTGGCAAGCCTCCCAAGTGCTTCAGAGACACTGTGTTAAGTTTGAATGATTAACATTTGGTGAAGCTCTGAACAACAGAAAAAGTCTCAAAACTGGATATGCAGTGCCAACTTAAAAATAGGTTCTTCAGACTATATTGTTTATAGTACTATTACAACCAATCATACAGAATATGCACATAAGCGTAAATACCAGCTTCTCCAGAACTTGTTCCTGTTGAAAGGAGCGGATTGCCATCAGCTGATCCTGATTCATTCCCTTCCACCGATCCGTGATCACACGATGTGTACCAAAGGAACTGATAGCTTGCTCAGGGTTTTCAGAAAGTAAGTTTCCTTGAAGCTGGCTGGAAATTTCATCCATATCATCTTTCATTTTTTGACATTTATCCAGCCTCTTTCTTTCAGCTAGTTCAGCAGCCTGAAGTCAACAAAAGTAGAGAACTAATAGCTTTTCTGATAGAAAATATTAACTTAAGGGATGCAAAAAAATTAGCACCTATATATAGATTTATTCTCAAATTCCATACAATTGTCAACAGCATCACATATGAATATTATGATCATGGCCCTACTGGTCAAAAAGACTGAAAATCCAATGGCATGCATTAATCATATAAGCATAATAGCATTGTTTTAATTTTATCATATCTCATCCCCGCTAGGGCAAAGAGCATGGGCTGTCAGACCTGCCTCTTGCATATACAGTTTTGCACATATATCATGACTGCAACAGGCCAATGGATACCAATTTTTCCAGTTTTTCCAAGATTCTCTCATTGTCTGCTGAAAATTACTGGCTTTGAAAGTGAAAAGTTGAAAACTCTAAGGCAGAGTAACTAGAAGAGATCAACAACTGAGAATGACAGGCCTATCTACACCCAAATGCAGGTCCTTTGCAAGAGTTACAGAGAAGAATTCTCCACTCAGCAAGCATGATGATCCATCCCACCAGAGAAGCCTGCTAACCTGGGTTTATCTCTACACTTGCATTTATGGACTTTGTTTTTGCATGACAGGAGCTCTCCCAAGCATCAGGCCTGGAGAATGTCAAAGGGTTTTTTATTTGCTATGGGCAAACATAGACAATGATCCATTAAAGACTGGACAGAAGAAAAAAAAAATAACAAAAGTATTAGATGTGCAATCTAAGAAAAGATGAATTCTTTTTTTTCATGATAAATTAGTCAAGCTTCCAATTAAATAAGATTATGCAGAAAATACCATGTTGCTGTCATTAGATGATTCATAAGAGATTACAAATGCCAACAAAAAGACAAAGCAAAAACCACAAAGATTTTCAACATTTTGATACTTCTGGGACACCAAACCAGAATATCTTGGTATATACTTTTAGCTTATTAATACTACAAATACAGCAATTATTTTTAACTCTGGAAATGCTCCAAAATAAAGCACACTTAACAGAAAGTCATTTTGGATGGATTTCACATAAATAATTCCTGAACAATGATGAAGAACTATTGAAGTTTAAACAGTGTAATTTTTATTGACATCGCTTTATGAAGGCAGTTTCGCTGTGATTTAGCAACAGATCCAAAATAGGCACTTACACCTTGTTATTTTAACCTTCTCACAGAGAGAGCCTAAAGTTTTCTGAGCTGCCTGGGAATCTTACTGGAGAAAACTCTCAACCCTGTGCATAGCTATGCAGCACTGTAAAATGATTAATGACACTGTGAAATAGAGACTGGGTAAAATCTGATGTATTTTCTGTCAAGACAGTTGGCCAACAAAACAAAATTTATTGGTGTAGCACGAAAACAAAAAACAAGCAAACAGATGCACCAATACATGCTACTTCATTTATTTTAATTTGTGCTCCATCGTTCATATTATATACTTCCATTCCACTGACTCAAGTCAAAAAAACAAAATAAATGTACATGGAAGCACTGCAAGGTCAGGACTTCACACGCTTAGAGTATCGCCAAGCTCTGAGTGTACATGGAACTAAACTGCTCCCAGCACAGGACTAAAAGAATGCACCATGTATTCTGAAGTCCTTACCACAAGCCATGAAGCTCTCAAATGACCAGAGTGATCCATCCATAGTCTTATGAGCTTGGGAAAGATGTATATCCCAAGAATAGGATATGAGTGACAAAAGATATTTGCACAGCACTCTTCAAAGAATGCTTAAAAACAGAGTTACCATGCTTCTATGTTTACACAAATATTTTATTTCAGGTGAAAAAAGGCTTCAAACTAGCTACTCAAAGTCTTGAATTTGCTGGGCACTCTGGACTGATATATTTGAAGTCAGATATAAAAATTCCTTTTCTAAAATTCATTCTCTGGCTGAGTGCCCCGGTTTTCTCTTAGGAAAAAAGATGTATAGAAAATCCCTTTAAAAGGCACAGCCTTTTTCTCTTAGACACAACTGCTACATGTACAATATAGTAAAAACGAACTACACTGATTGTTGCTTCTTTCTCTATTATTATGCCCTTTTGTGAGAAAACAAACAAATAAATGTTATATGTATTTAATATGAGCACAAATAAAGTAGAATGTACAAGGCCAATTATTAAAGACAAACAAACAAAAAAATTAAACCAGACACAAACTTCCCCTCTACTCCACCCCATTTCCCAAGCTCCATCACAAATTCAGGAACTTATACATGGAACAAATTTGTATTTTTGGATACATTTTTTTACAATTTTACTTTTACAATTATTTTGGATATTATTGTTAACTAAAGTGCACGTAGATGTACCATTTGGGGTACTTCTGCAGGTACTGATGTAAAATAGTCTTTAGACTATTTTAGACTATTAGACTTCAATCAATAAAATCCTTTTCAATTATCTTGTCTAGCTGTATATATATAAACATACATACACACACATATATATATGTATACACATATGCTCAATGTAGTTTGAAGGACTCGGGCAACACTTATTCAAACATGTGCATACATACTATCACACTTTAATCAAAATACCTACCTTATGTAGGTAATGTAAGTAAGGCACACGCCTTATTTTGTTGTGACTTATTTTGCTGTGACTAAAAAAAGGTAATTCGGATCAAATATTGTTTAACAAAACAAATGGTGTCCATCCAGCCCTTTAAGCTGCTCATAGAAGATATACAGGATTAACTTAGTAAGAAAATCTGTACAGTAAGATGAACAATTGGAGCATGATAGATTGCAGTACAAAGACAGGTGGAATGGAAGTGAATGGAATGGAAGACCATTAAGTTTAACTGCCTCTTCACACCTAACCAAAAGTTACAGTATGTTATTTCTGGCATTGTCTGAATGCCCCTTGAACACTTGCCTTGGGGCATCAACCATCTCTCTAGGAATCCTGTTCCAGAACTTGACCATCATCACAGTGAAGAAATTGGTCTGGTTACCAACGATAAAGAAAAGTTCATGTTATGTTTCAGTGAGTTCCAAAGCTTGCTTGGAAAACAACCTAGAGACAGATACACAGCATGTGCTAAAAACAATGGTCTTGGGGCATTAAAATAACTGATAAAGACAAAAAGCTACTGGTAATTTTTCCACAAAAAGGAAAAGAAAAGCTGGCAGAAGCAGCTAAAATGATCACTGAAATTATTAAAATTATGACTGAAAAACAAACAAACAAACAAACAAAAAAAACCCCAAAAAACGAGAAGGAAGTGCTGAAGGCTTTTGCTGTACTACATTTTACAGACTAGAAGTCCCAGAGAGATGGGATTAGTGGCTGCATGCTACAACAAGCTGAGAACAAGAAGGAAGCATTCTCACAGAAGGTAACCAAGTAGAGGATAGCCAGATCCTTGCAGATGACAAAGAAGTGAAAAAATCTTCTGAATCAACACTGAAAGGTAGCTGCTATCAAACATCTGTGGAAACATCACTACTTGTTATACTTTTGCTCACTGGTCATCTAATTTCCCCTCCATTTTCTCTCCTCCCCCACTCATTAACAGAAACAAAAACCAACATGATGAATTTACCTGGCTTTTGTTAAAGTCTTTGATAGCTGCACATACAGCACGTCTCGTTTCTTCTTCAATTCGTTGTTGTTCCATTATCTTTTGGTCCAGTTCAATCCTATTCTTGTCATGAAGATCATCTGAATCAGATTAAAATGAAATGCAGTCAACTTTCATGGACATTGTATGTCATACGAATATGGAAGAAGGGGAGGCTAAAGATGTAGTAAGCTGATTTAGGAAATTATTTCCCAATCCTGTCACCAAAGCTTTCCATCTTGGAATTTCAGATGATTCATGAAATCAGTTTATTTTGTAATCAATCTTGTCTTAGCAGGTAAACAAAGTTTAATAATAATAATAATAATAATAACAATAACAATAATAAACACTAAGCATGTTTAACAGCAAGATAAGAAAAAGAAAAATGAGAATTATTTTGTTTGCTCTATAAAAGTAAAGACTGGATGATTTGGCCTGCTGAAGTGTATATATATATGTGTGTGTATATATATATGATATATATATATATATGTCATGCAAAGTACAGATGATTTTTCAGAATACTCTGATACTTCATACAAGGTATAAAACAGAAATGAAGCCTAGGTAATTATTCAATCATTAAGTTATTAAATTCTTCATTTATATATCAAATACATTACAAGTTGTAGAGCAAAAACTGCTCTTTCTCTAAAAGCTGAATACACCAAAATACTGCTATGTCAGAACCTTACATAACAGGCTATAGCACAGTTATGTCCTAAACACCTGACTTACAGAGAAAACAGATAAAACCTCCCTTATCTTTTCTTGTTACCTAAAAATTTTTTATCAGCTAATGCATTCTTGTAATCTCTCTGTTGCTGAAGAGACCACTCTCTTAACTGCTCCTTTTGAAATTTCGTCCTCTGAGCGTAGTTTAAGTCTTCACCCATAAACTTCTGCAAGCCAGATACAGTGCATCGAGGATCATTGTCTGAAAGCCGAGCAGGTCTATCCTTCTTTAGAGCCTGGGGATCAGATAGATCAAATTCACGTCTCGTTTCTGGCTGCTGAAAATTCTTCTGGAAGTCACTGACAGCCTTGTTCAAGTTTCTGATGTTGCGTTTCTGTCTTTCTTCTAACATACACATCAACTTGTCATTTTTCTTCATTTCATTCGCTAGAGTAAAATGAGCACAACAAACATATAATTCTTAGAAGAGTATACAAATCAAGATGGAAAACGACAATTTCAAAACGAATAAATAGGAATACATGTATTCCAGGGTTAGGAATGACTATTTCATCTACAAAGGGTCATTCTGCAAAACACTCTAATGTTAGTAATATTTATTTGTAGAGTACTTTAATGTTTCTAGGAGTTAATTTTCTTATTAATGTGAAATTATATATAAGCATGTGAAAAGAATACAATAATAAGTACCTCTAGAACTAAAAAATTTCATTTGATGAAAGCTTGCTTTACAGATGAAGTGTATTGTTTACTAATTCTTCATATTTACTTCCAATTTAGCATTATGACTAAAATGCAATAAATTCCTTATTAAGAATACACAATAAAGAATTCTCAATTTAAGACATGTAGGTTGCTCCATAAGTAATGTTTGTTTGTTTCCATGGAAACTACAACAGATAAAAAGAGCACAATAACACTATTTAACACAGCACATTCTCAGCTATAAAACACTATTTCCAACAGAGTCACCACCATTTTTGTCAGTAATGAACAAGAACCTACATGCTGTGCTCATAAAAATCTGTACCAGCAGAGGTGACCCATCATTACCACTGTTGAAACAGACCATCCATGTGCTAATGTCCACTGTTTGGTCTTCACCAACACTCAGTAAGCATCAGTGAATGTCACTGGGTGCCATTTTTTCTGCATGAAGTTATTCAGTCACACCTCTGCACATCCTTGCCAGATACCATTTTCTCAGACAGCCCCTCTGCTGCCACCTGTTGCACGACAACAATATGTGTAAGAATTACCAGGAAGGTTCAACCTCTACTGCCATTCCACCAACATTTGCTTCTGATGTCATGGACCAACATAATAAAATAGGAGGCATTAGTTTTTGAGCAACCTTGTAGTTATTTCACAGTTTCAGTAATTTTTCCAAGCACAGCACTAAAAGAATTGGCTGTTGCTAATAGCTTTTGAAGAGCTTAGTAGCTCTTATCTATTCAATAAAAATGCTAAATAATCCAGTCAAAAGTTTTAAAAAAATGCATACATGATAGCCATTCAAATATAATTCACAATGAAATATAATTTCCTTTGATGCCAGACTTCTGGCAGTTTCCTAGGGGTCTGAGTCTGCCAGGTATTCCACCAGGATAATCAAAACCAACAGCGGAGGAAGGAAGGAAGGGAAGGAAGCACAGAAGCTGTCATTTGCAATTGAACTCTTTTTGAAACATGTAGAGTGCCCAGTCTGTGGGACCTTTAGAAGTGATACCATGAAAAAGCGTTCCAACCAAAGAGGGTCATCAAGAGTTTTGAGACGAGTGGACAGGCCTAAAATATTTTTGTGGCTATGCGTTCTGACTCAGCGATACCTCTCAGTTACAGCCCTGTTGTTTGCAAAACATGCAAGTCTGCAGATGATACTCCAAGCTGAGCAGCAGTGCTGATGCACTGGTGGGAAGGGATGCCATTCAGAGAAACCTTCACAGGCTTGAGAAGCAGGCTCATGAGCATCAAGTTCAACAAGGCTAAGTACGAGTTCTACATTTGAGCTGGGACAGTCCATACATCAGTACAGACTAGGAGATGAATTGATTGAGAGCAACCCCGCTGAGAAGGACTTGGGGATATTGCTGGGTGAAAACTGAATTTGTGCTGGTAATGTGCCCTCGCAGCCTAAAATCTCCTGGTCTCATAAGAAGTGCAGCTAGCAGTTTGAGTGAGGCAATTATACCCACCTCCTCTGCTCACAGTAAAGGGTGGGGTCTTGTGTAACTCACTCTGGGGCCCCCAGCACAAGCACCTGTTGAAATGAGTCCAGATGATGGCCCACTAAAAGAGGGCTGGAGCATCTCTCCTATGAGCAAACGCTTGAGGGAATTGTGCTTGTTTAGCCTGGAGAAGAAAAGGCTGCTGGAAGACCTTACTGCAACTTTTCAATATATAAAAGAGGCTAACAAGAAATAGACTTTTTACTAAGGTCTGTAGTGACAGAACAATGGGCAATGATTTTAAACTTAAAGAAGGTAAATTTAGATTGAATATAAGGAAGAATTTTTTTTATGATGAGAGTGGTGAGACAGTGGGACAGGTTGGCCAGAGAAGTTATGGATGTCCTATCATTTCAAGTGTTCAGGGTAAGCCTGGGAAGGAGTTTGAGCAGCGTGATCTTGTAAATGACGTCCCTGCTTATGGCAAGGGGGTTGAACTGGATGATAAAAGTCACTTCCAACCTAGGCCATTCTATGATTTTAGCAACAGAAATCTGCAAAATATTGTATCTACTGATCCTGTATAAGAACAGACAGAAAAACCATAAACTTATTTTGCAAGACAGCAGTAAAATAAGTTTGCCACTTCTGCTTGAAAAAGAATTATTATTTTTCCAAATCATCCTATATCTTCAGGTCTCTAACAATGCTATTTATCAAGATTTATTAAAAGAAAACACTGAAGATTAAAACCTATTCAGAAATACACACCAGTTTACTCATGACAGTACAAATCCCTGAGGCCCTATCTCAGATAATAAGGAAAACACATATTCTACTAATGCAAATGTATAAACATAAATAGGAATACACAAAGGATTCATTTTGTAAGTATGAATTTAGACAAAAGCCTAATTGCACATGCACTTATAAATATATAGATATACAGAGTTGATAATCAAGGAGATAGACTTCATTTGAAAATAATTACAGCTGTTCAAAATATATGGCTGTCCAACCTTTTAGTTTGCTGGGCTGTACTGAGTGAAAATAAATAATCTTTGGCCATATACAAAAACATATAATATAGTTAATATATACAAGTAACAAAACAGTTATTTTTAAAATATTTTTTATTAAAACATTAAAAATAGGGCAATAAAAGCAAAACTAGTAGGCTGGACGCGTATAAAAAGAAAAAGAGGGAATGAAATACATGACAAATCTGTTTACATTTAACTTCATACAAACATGAGTCTATCTATGAATATAATGAATATACCAAGTTCTTCATTTCGTGCTTTTTCAGTTGCTTCTTGAATTTTCCTATCCTTAACCTGGGCATCCAATGCATCTTTATCAACCTATTAAAACAAACAAACAAAAAAGTAAAAACAACAACACACCAACTGTTACTGGCTGTCACTGGGTGTCTTTGTAAGACTTATAAAAAACACTGACAATTCTTCAAGAGCCTGATAAAGTGTTTTAATAGTCTTTGCCTATTAGAATCACAGAGTCACTAAGGTTGGAAAAGACCTCTAAGATTATCTGTTCCAACTGTCCACCTACCACAAGTGCCCCTCACTGCCACACCTTCACGTCCCTCAAGCACCTCCAGGGACGGTGACCTATAAATACTTTGCCTTATTTCTGTAACAATCAAAATGATGGAAGTCAACCATTTGCCTCACTTTTAACTTTAATCATTTTTCTCCCTTCCATATGCTTCCTGTGCTTTTCTGACCTCTTTTTCCAATTCCTACTGTTTTGTTTTTTTTTAAGCTCAGATGATGGATAACTATCTCCCTGATGCCCCTCACACTTATAAACATGCACACCAGAGGATGAGAAGCACAACAGCCATGGCGCATTTACCTCTGTCATACATGCAATTCTCATTCATTCAAAAAGGCAAACTATAAGGTAAACTATAGATTTAACTTGCTCATTCTAGAACCTTGCTTCCTCTATTTGAAACATTAGCAAATTTAAGGCTGAGATATGCAAGTGGGATTTAAATTATAAATTCCTTGCTATAAGCAGTTTGAAGCAGTTGACTTCTAATTTGTAGTTATGCATAAGAATTCCTATGTAAATGGAATGTCTTTCATCATTTTACATTAGAACTGCTCATCTGAACTCTTTCAGAAAAGTACTGAATTATCGAGGATTAATTCTTAAATCTGTAATGAGATGCACCATGCTTTCCCATTTCTCAGACAACTAAACATACAGAAATCAAAGTAACTAGTAATAATCAAGGAAAAAAAAAATCTTACTTCCCATTCTACTTTCCAGACAACATTTTATCCCATTTTAAAAACTTCTCAATCCGCGGTTCAAATAGTTTTGTAGCTGTCAAATATTGCCTTCATTTTTGAATAGTCACAGACAATCACTCCACTAAATTAGTGACAGAATGAGAAAACAAAGAATCTAAAATCTCATTGGAAATAGATACATACTCTATACCTCCATAGCTTTGTTGACTCCTGCTTTGGACTTGGCTTAATTTCAAACCACAAGAATAGTCTCTTCTGTAAGCACTTCTTGCTCAGCCAACAAATATGGTATTATGAAATGATGTTCATCAAAATATTTACAGAATTCTTCCAATGGATTCACTTTCACTTTAGATGTTTGTCTTGTGTAAATGGATCTATCAAAACCTGTCCAAAGGTGGTTCTACAACAGTATTTGGGTAAGATCTCCAGACGGTATAAATCAGCATTGCTCAGTAAAGTACAGAGATCCAATGGTCTTCCCTAAGCGAGAAAGGGCATTTTACATTCAATATTCAAGGCTCGAGAAAAGCCATCCTAAGAGAAACTGTGCTTCCTAGCAAAGAAAGTTGAACTATCTTACTGTGCCCACGGAACTTTGTTAAAACACATTATTAGCTCCTATCATTTAACTGTACCATTGGCTACCGTGCCTGTTACTTTACCATGTCACTGACTGCTGCACAAAGGTCACGAGAGCAATTCCAAGGTGCTGCCACAGACCAGGTAAACATATCCTTCTGCTGCCATATGAGATGCTTCATTACGTGAGACTGCTTAAATCAGACCGTCATCTGCTGCAACCCTACGTGCACTATGAAGTTAACAGACTGGGCTTGTTTCCACCGCTTCTAACTTTGATTCTAGGCTAGTTATTGCAATCAAAATTGCTAGTTATTGCCCTCAAAAGCAACTTAGCTGCAAAATTTAAGCTTATTTTGCAACACTTTCCCCCCCATGCACGCATCCAGACTCTTAACATGAGACTGGATGCATTAAGGGAAAATTAACTACCATAACTCCTTGTACGGACTCTTCATAGCTATTTAGATAACTACCACTTGATTTCCTGATAGTCAGACTGAAGACAAAGCCCACTGGAGCGCAGCTAGAGAGAAAAGCACCTCACTCCCACCAACAACCTTCGGAAAGCGTTGTTAGCCCTTCACAGCGTGCTTCGGGGAGTTCGCTGCCCCTCCCCCTCCCCGGAGCCAGACTCACACAGACCTAGGCGGACTGCCGGCCCCACAGCCCCGGGCAGCCGAGCCCCGACCCGCGAACAGACTTCGTCCTCGCCCTCACCCCGATGGTCCGCACTCGCGCGTTAAAGATGCGGCCCTGCCGCTGCAGCTCGCGCTGCCGCCGCCGCTCCAGAGCAGCCGCCTCCTGCAAGTCCCGCCGCGCGCTCAGCCCGCTCATAGCGCCGGCAAGAAGCGCGAGCAGCGACAATCGCCGCTAAGGCACAACACACCGGGTCGCCATGGGGACGAGCTCCCGCCCCCTCCCCCCCTCAGCGCTCGCTGGCCAATCAGGCGAGGCCGCGCGGCCGCGAGCACGAGGCGGGCGGCGCCGTTGTGCGTCGGCTGCTGATGGGCGAGGTCAGGCCTGGAGGTTGCGCGGCTTGGCGCTCGTTTGGGCCGTCTGCTGCTCCAGCCGCGTACGCTGAGAGCTTTCTTTTCTCCTGTATCCCTTTCCTGAAGACAGACCGTTAAAAAATAATACCCGATGGTGTGAATTTTGTGTGAGGCTGAAGTTTGAAGGGGAATGGCCTTTGTACCCACAGCCTCAGGGATGGGCTACCTGAAGCTGCTGATAGTGAAGGACTTCAAGTCCTGGCGTGGGGAGCAGCTGATCGGCCCCTTCATGAGGTTCAACTGCATAATTGGGCCCAATGGATCAGGTAGGAGGCTGGGAAAGTGTCATGGGCATTTGGAGGCCGTACGTGTCCTCCGCAGTTGCCAAGATGGAGGTGTCTGTTGCCCTTGCCCTGCTTTCCCAGGCTTTTTCCCAGTCTTAGTTCTGGGCTCTTTGCCAGGTTGCTTAAAGCCTGATGAGGGAAAAAAACCATAACAGCAAGTGCGTCCAAGCGTGGGCCCAGTAATGGGGCTACCACAGCTGGCACTGAATGGGCTGGAATGGCAGCAGCTTGTCCCTTGGGGGCAGAATTGCTTGATTTTTGCATAGGGGATGTAGACTTCTGTGGGCCTCTTTACAGGGACCTGTGGGCTTTTTTTGTCATGGAAGTGTTTTATCATGTCAGTGATCATCTTTCAGCTCCCCCGCCCCAGAAGGTGGAGTAACAAAGTGCAACAATACTAATAATGTCTTTTAACTTGTATTATTTGCATTGTGGAAAACAATTTAAAAATCTGCCATGTGATGAAGACAGACTTCAAGCTAACAGGCTTAATTAGAGGCAGGGAATGTAATAGGAAAGATTTGGTCTAGATTTGATGAGGAAAAATAAACATTAAGAAGAGAAGTCCAAGGAAAGCTGTTTGTGTCAAGTTGCATCATATTTTGAATGCTTTCCCTTTCACACGCTTAGAAAAATAGCAGTATTGCCACCAAACAGCCTCAGACATAGTTTCGGTGTTAGAGAAGAATCAGAGGGAACACATACAGTGTTTCTAGTATGATCCATGAAAATAATGTGAAAAAATCTTAGAAGTATTAGTGAAATGCGTGTGTTAAAATAGCGATGTTATAGGGGATGGTGTTTCACTCTCTTCCCTTTTGTAGTACTTCTCAGCTTGGTTGGTTTGGGCTGTGGCCTGGGCTGTGACATTGGGTGTACTTTGTCCTTCTCTCTCATCACTTCTTTTACTCTTTTTTTTTTCCAACTGCTGCTTTCATTTTGTTTCTGTTCTTCATGTTTTCTGCACAAACTTCTGGAAGATCCTGAGCTGCCATTGCTTCTCTAATGGAAGATATTGATTATCAGTTGATTTCTTTATTATTTTCATGGTCTTGTAGAACAAGCAGTTTGCAAACAGCACATGCGGCTATGTAGGTCAGCTTGGTATGGTCAAATGAAGATGGTTTTACTCTAATGCTCTGAGTTCTAAACTGTAATAATGCATAATGGCTTCTTGATTCTGTTGTAGTCCTTGCCTTAAATGCCTTCTGAGGGGAGAAGGCGGCTTTTGGGGGATGGCAACTACTTCGGACACAGTAGTTTAGTCCCCAAGTCTTTGCTTGTCAGTGTGTCTCAGCGTAGTTAGGTGGTAGCTGCTGGAAGTTTTAAAAATGTGGCTCACTTCTGCTGAAAGCCCTATTCAAGCAAATGGGATTTTATTCTTTACTTGGCAGAGAACAAGGTGATGCTCTAATGAGGAGCCGCAAGGACAGGCTTAGCATTTGATCTTAGTTGCCCAGTCCATTAGTGATTTAGTTTATGATCTTGGTTTTTAGATCCTGCTGTTCCTGCATTTTTTCAGTTGAAATGAGATCCATAAATATGCTGTTCTTCCACAGCAGTTGTTCCCACTGCTCAGCAACAGCCAAACATTGCTGTATGATTGGCACTGCGATAAAACCCAGGCATGTGGAGGGTGCAGTGCTGTGCTAACTCAAGTTGTGGGAAAAAAATTTGTGTTTCGATCCATTGGCTAAATGCAGTCCTGTCAACAGTGAAAAACAGGCAGCCCCGCGTTCCATTTTGATGAAGGGATTTGAGAGTAAGTTCCAAAATTGCTGGAAAAAAGTGTCAATTTTTTGTAAATACATTATCTGCAAATTTTCAGATGGAACGTGTAGAGCAGTAATCACATAATCAACTGAGAAATTTGATCATGTCTCTTTACTAGCCTTTTATAAGACCTATCTTACCAGAGAGAAATATCCCTTGCTTCACAATCGTGCCTTATTCACATCATCACTTTTTGGCAGTCTGCACATTTGTGGATAAATATTTTCAAGTATGAAGCACAGGAAGAGTAATAGTTCATCAAAAATTTCTGAGAGCACCTTGAGAACTGAATAAGAATTGCACCCTCTTCCGTTGAACCAGACTGATGCATCCATTTTGCAAGAATGAGGTCAAATAGCCACTAGTGTTTTGTTTTTGTTGCTTGCCTTTCCTTATTGCTATAGAAAAAAATATTAAAGAAGTTTTGTTACTTACATTACATTTACTATGTATTTAGTAAGTGGCCCAAGACAATCAAGACAATTCCTCTTGACTCAGCGCAGCCCAGGCAAGCCAAAAGGTTGGAGATGCATGATAAAAAACAGGGCTCTATGAAGTAAGCATTATGATAGTGTTAGTTCAGTAATAGTAAGTAGTTTACTGTTACTAAATAGTTTAGTAAGTAATGACAATAAAGTTTGTTCTGCCAAGCTGAATAAATAACAGGAGAGTTTTTTGATGATTTTTATTAAAGATTAGCTTTTATCTGCTGCCTCTGTTGCATTTCAGAAATGCATTTCTTCATTGTACGCAATATGTTTTCCTCAACGAAATACAGAATTAGAATTCTTGAAGACTTTTGTGTCTGCATTTGTATTTTTAATTAATTGTTAATCATATCCCTCCTTCAATTTCTTCTGTGTCAGAGCATTGACTTGTTTGTTTGTTTCTAGGAAAATCTAACATAATGGATGCTGTTAGTTTTGTGCTGTGTGAAAAGATATCTAATTTGCGAGTTAAAAGTGTTCGAGAACTAATTCACGGAGCACATGTTGGCAAACCAGTTTCTTCTACAGCAAGTGTAAAGATAGTATACTGTGAAGAAGATGGGGAAGAAAAAACATTTTCAAGAGTTATCCGTGGTAGGTGGCAGGTCCTTTTGGATGTACATTCTGTGGTCTGATACCTAAAAAATGAAGACCAAGAATAGTTAAGTTTGAATTTCAAATACTTCTTACAGTCCATCAGCAGCATCTTGATACCAAGTGTAAAAATTGCAGAAAATGTATACTAAGGCTAATGTTAAAATTAACCAAGGTATAAGAGAATAGTTGAAGTTTTCTTTGAGGAAGTTGCTCAGGAAAAAAATGTGGAATAATTTTACTGATGTATTTTCTGTTGCAGCCTTTTTAACATGATTGTTTTTTCTTTTCTCCTTCAGATGGTTGTTCAGAATATATTTTCAATGATAAGTCTATTACCCGGTCCGCTTACATATCTGAGCTTGAAAAAATAGGCATACTTGTCAAAGCTAGGAATTGTCTTATTTTTCAGGTGAGCACTTAGGGTACTTCATAAGAAAATAAGTCTCTGAGATTATTTGATATCTGTAACAGTTATCTATTCAATATCCAAGCTAGTTTCAAGGCGCTTTCAAGCCAATAAACTTTATCTTGGCCTTATAAAAGAATTTTAAGTCTTTGAAATGAGAATGATAGACCTTGTGTGTAGAGGATTACATTAGGAGGAAAGGGGCTAATTTGGAAGAATGCTTATTTCTTCAAAATAGAAGATGTAGATCTTTACTTTTAAAAGTTTGCAGTGTTAATTTCTAGAAATGTTATAAAAAGAAAAATGTTTGCACCATATAATGTTAATCTAGAGAGATGAAAATTTGTAAGACTATCTTTTAGGGATTGAAAATCCTGTTATTACTTCAAAAGTATTTAATGATACAAGTAATGAATTCATGTGCTTATGACACATAAGCTTGTGTGCTCATGAGTATATTTCACATGATTGCCTTTCTTATGTTTTATTGAACTGTGATTGTAAAATTCCCAAGGAAGTACTACTATTTTTCTTCTAGAGAAAACCTGGGTATGCATTCTTTTTGTGATCATAATTCCTACTGTGAGGGTGTTTGCCCACCATAACAGCAGATTGAAGTCAGAAAATGTACTGAATACAGTTTTCTGAAAATGATAATTGCTTCAGGTCAGTGAAGATTTGAAAGCTAACGTGTGGACAAAGCTTGTGACCCGTTAGCCTTGGGAGTTGCAGAGTCTTCAAATACACCGACTTGAGCAATTACTCTCCTGAAGTAGCTGTTTTTGAAATTTTTTTCATTGCAAATGTCTTTCAGTTCTTTTAAAGAGGCCAATGAGATAGAATTTTGTTTTTCTGATACTGCGCTCTCCTTTGTTTAAGTAGATTTAATTTGAATGTGTATTTCTTAAGTAGTGTTTGATATTATAAAATTATTAATAGTTGTAACTTGCTTAGTTGGCTAGATTATAGTCTTTTCCTTGCCTTTGAATCTATATATATGTTTTCAATAATGCTAATCATTAAAATATCAGGAGATAAATCTGTATTATATCTCTTAAGAGATGAAATTTATCATTCTACAATGTGATCTGCAGTGGTTCATTTTTATTTTTTTTTGCAATTTTGTGTTAGGGAACAGTAGAGTCAATTGCAATGAAGAAGCCAAAAGAAAGAACTCAACTTTTTGAACAAATCAGTAACTCATGGCAATATGCTGAGGAATATGAAAAAAAAAAGAAAAAAATGCAGCAAGCAGAAGAGGATGCACACTTCAATTATAACAAGAAAAAAAATATTGCAGCAGAACGCAAGCAAGCAAAGGTAGAGAAAGAAGAGGTAACTCAAAGTTACTACTTTTGTGTGTGTGTTTTTGTGTCTTCTGTGAACTTAGTTTTTAGGAATAAAATACCATTTTTTCATCTAGTATTTTTTCAGTATACTGTAAAATACGCATTTCTAAGTTATTTTAAATATTTTATTATAAAAACTAAATAAATGGAGGAGTAGAGTAGCCAGTATTTTTACAGTAAGGCTTGACTTAGATATCTGAGTTATAATAGTGTACATTACTGGTACATCAGCCTACATCACTTTGGACTTCAGATTAGACTGCTAGTGATCTAAAAATCATTTCTTAATCTAAAAATGAAATTTTAATGTTGGCAGGCAGAGCATTACCAGATGCTTGTCAGAGAACTGAATGCAAACAGGATACAGCTTCAGCTTTTCCAGCTCTATCACAATGAAAGAAGCATTGAATCTCTGAAAGAGAGTTTGGATGAAAAGAATATGGAAGCTAGGGTCAAGAAAGACTCCCTTTCTACAGCAGAAGATGCCTTTAGAGCAAAGAAAAAGGTGCTTGGTGTACTAAACAGAGACCAACAACACATAGAAAGGGAAATGAAGTAGGTTTTTCAATCAAGTTCTCTGATTTTTGAGTTAAGGCATAGTCTGCACTGGGAATTGCTTGGCAGGTGGGCGTTTCCTATTGAAGTGAGTAGGGTGATAACTCCTAATGCTATGGAAGTTGGGTTGTAGCATTTTACTTGAGTAGTAACTAAACATTGATTTTTATTGTTATTATTTTTCCCCCCCAACATTACCAGCATTTTCAGTAGTTTAATTACTTGTTTGTTGCGAGATTTCAGAATTTTATGCTGCATTTCTTCAGCTTTTATTTTCAGTGGATGTTTAAAAATAACACCTGTGGGTATGTAACCTTGCAGCTGACAATAGATGGCTGATTTGCATGTTTGTTTGGAGGTGTTGTTTTATTTTTTTGTTCTTTCAGGACTCTTCAGGCATCCCTAATTCAGCAGAAAGCCCTCTATATAAAAGCGAAGGAAAATACTTCCTACCAAATCAAGAAAGTAGAAATGTCTAAAAGATCTCTAAGGGACAAGGAGAAATACTGTGATAAGGAAAAACAGAACATAAAAGAACTGGAGATAGAATTGCATGATACTGAAAAGGCATGGAGAGAATTTGAGAAGGAGACTGAAGAGGAGATATTGCTGAGAGTAGAACGTGTTGAGCTGAGAGAACGTCAGGTGAATTGGGCGAGCAGGAAACAAAATATTGTTTACTAGTGAAGTCAGAAAACTGCACTGGTGACAAAGAAATTATTTTTTTTCATCAGTAACCTGTGATTTTTTTACTGTTCTTCTCGTTGAGTTCAAACAAAACTAAAACATAACTTTTTTGGGGGGGACTATTTAATCAGTTAAATAGAATTGATGCTTAAGCTTTTTGGGGTAGTGGAGCATCTCCTTTCTGGGAGAAGGGAAAGAAAATGACAAATTTGGAAGTTTTGAGTGGGAAACAGTTCTAAGAAAATGTATTTAAGTTGCAGAAAGAATCATAAATGTGCTATTCCAAGATTAGAAAGGATATGCAGTTCAGTGTTTAAAATCCATTTTCTAAGTAATATGAGAAGGTACTGGAGGAAGCAATGAATTTCCAGTGAAAAAGAAATAGAGAAGAATTTGATGGAAACTTCAGAAGGGTTGTATGGAGGGACTCTCCTCTGTGGATTAGGGTTATAGCTACATAAATATGTATCTAGAGCTAGGTTGAGAACTCTTTTTGTTCTGCTTTGTATTGTTTTCCTTTCTTGTAGGAGTTCAGATAGTACAGTGTGGGAAGGTAGAATAGAAAATACCACGTAGGGTCTTGGGGCTGAGAGGATTCATTCTGAGAAATGGCATGTTGCTGTACTGTAGAAATACGTGTTCAGTTAGGAAAAAGAAATAGGTGACAAATGCACGCAAGGCTTCATATTGTACATGCCATTTACTGTGGGTCAGAAGCTACTGCTGAGGTAACTTGTATTATTTGAAATTTTGGAAGGAAATTGCAGTATTATTTTACTGTAAATTCCCATTTTGAAAATCCGCCTTCGAAACCATTTGTTCTGAAACTCTTCTGTATCCAAATAGTAACTTCTCCACAAAATATTTTCTGATCCATTAACAGGATCCTGAACTCTTCCGCCTGAAGAGTTGCTTATTTAGCATGTGAATGTTATTTTGCACCTTGAACACATTTCTTAAATTAGTCATAACTTTGTGGGATTGCTTCAAGTACCGTTTCATGAGTTAGCCTTTAAATATAGATTTGATACCATTCTATCGCAGCATTTCTATGTTGTAATGATAAATTCAAAGCTTGCTCTAGTTTTGGACTGAGCGAAGACATTGTTTTAAACTTAATATTCACTGTAAAGTACTGTCAACGTGATAAAACAGAAGTTGTTAAATACCAGAATAGTTATTGCCTGTGGTCTTACTTAAGTGTAAGCTTTGAATTGAATCTTCCCTTAATAAAACGTAATGGATGGAAAGGCCTGCAGAATTCAGTGTCTTTTATAATACTAATTTTGATAAGGTAGGAAATTACTATTCGAGACTATAAAAACATGAGTTGTTTCATTTTCAGTGCAGTGATTATTTTTTTTTTTTGTTATTTGTTCAGCTGGAGCGCTATAAAGAACTAAAGGAAATTGCAAGAAGGGAAGTAGCTATGCTAACACAGCAGCTAGGTAAACTTCGTTGGGAGCAAAAAGCAGATGAAGAAAGGATGAAACTTTATCAGAGGAAGAAAAAGGAAATTAAGGTACTTGTATCAAGCTAGAATTGCGCTTTAAGGAAAAAAATGTGCTTTTTGTGCACCCCTGCCTCTGGTATGAATGTCTACATAAATGTGTTAAATGCTGTGACAGAAATCCTTGGCGAAAGATAAATGGCAAGTATTCATGCATTTCTCATATTGCAGCAGGTTTAGAAAAATGACTTAATTTTTTTTTCAGAGAGTGATTGCACGGGTCAATGCTAAGGGTTGCTTTGAACAGTCTGGCTCTAGCATTTTACAGTTACTATGTACAGGACATGTACATAACTCTAAGAAGTTCCTAGTTCTATAAACTTAATTCTTCTTTCAGAGGTTCCCTAGCATTCTTTATCTGTATGACTATCATCCCCTTTTGAGGTTTATTTTGTTTACAGCAGCTGAAATAGTTTGGAAGGGACTTGAAGGACCAGAATGAGAGAGAAGGAGAATCATCGTGATCACTGTGGTATTGCAGTTCAGAGAAAATGCCTGTGAATACAGATATCTACTGTCATTCTGCTTCTGATGTACATAATTACACATCTGATCTTACTATGCTTGATACACTCTCTTAGAAAAATTATTTCCAAGCTTGTTCTGCTTTGTGTCATGCTTCTAGAAGCTCAACTGATGATCTTTCTTCCAATAGAATGCTTGCACTACAATGTTTTTATATTTATTTTTCCCAACTATGCCAACATGGCAACATGCTTTTTTTTTTTTTTTCACCATTTAGTTGTGGAGTCAAGGTTTGGAGGAGGCTCTTGTTTGGAAAACTCAAATTAGTCAGATGAGATGTTACCAGTTCTAGGAGTACTAACACTTAAGTGATCTAAATATAAATTTCCTTATAGAGTAAAGTAAGCATTTTACTTGATAACTATGAGAGTGTGAAGTCATCCTTGCTATCAGATTTAAGGTAATACTTGTACATTTGTTCGCTGTTTATGATACTACTTTTTCTTGTTGAAGGACTAGCTATCAGAAGAAACTATTCAGTGACTAGAAGTAAAAAAAGAAGTTCCACTCGTTATGCTTCTGAAACTCCACAAATCGTATTTCAGTGTTCAGAAAGAAATAAGGGATGCTGAGATTTCATAAAATGCGTGTCTGACCATTAAGAGTTGCCAATATTCATCCGTGCTGTTGACAGCTGATAACTATTCTCCACACTCAGATACGCATGTGACCGCAGCAAGCTTGTACTGCCAGTGTAAGAAAGACTGTGGCATCCAAGTACACTAGTGGGCCTCCATGCTCATTGGGGTTGGAGCACTTGGCATAGCAGGAGAGGCTGTTTGAGCTGTATTTCTTCATCTTGTAGAAAGAAAAGCAAAGAGGAGACCTTAGTGCTACCTGTAACTACCTAGCGGGAGGATATGAGCAAAATAGTCACTTTATGGAGGTGCACAGTGATAGAATGGGATACATCAGGTGCAGTTTGGAATGTGGGAAACTGAGTAAACTGGAAATAGTCAAATGTTGAAATGAGTGTGCAGGAAGACTGGAGCCTCTGTCCCTGAACTATTGAAAATTTATCAGGACAAGGCCTTAAAACAAGCTTGTATGAATGACTTTCCTTTGCATCAGCTGGTGAACTAGCAAGCTCCAGAGGTCCCTTTCAAACTGTTACTCTGTAGTTCAGTAACAGCTGTTAAGTGTTATGTATGTGAAATTTCAGCTAAAATAAGATGGATCTTAGTGCTTCTGTATTTTGCCCACAAATCCACTTACCTCCTTCAAATTTCTGGAGATATGCAAGACCAGCCTGGACACCTACCTGTGCAGCCTGCTGTAGGGAGCGTGCTTTGCAGGGGGGTTGGACTTAATACTCTCTAGAGGTCCCTTCCAGTCCTCACAGTTCAGTGATTCTGTGAAACGCAGATGTCAGATCATTAGTGTGCATTGCTAGAAGATCTGTCTGTAAAAGACAAGTGATTAAAAGAGACCAATATATTTAAAACTGTAGATGATAGAGATATGTAAGATGTTTTGAAAGGAAACAGTAGGTCTCAAGGATTTCAGAAGGCATGACTTAATAAAATACTAAGTAACTTTATGTTTTTCTTCTTGCTGCAGTTTATGGATTTTCATTCAGTTTAGGTAACTGAAAAGACTTACATTGTTGCTGGTTTGGTTATGCTAATTCAATGATTTTAGGTAGGAATTTCCATGTCAACTTAATGTTTTTAGAATAAAGCTATTATTAACCTTTTGAAAAGAAAGGAATCTTTTTTGCTTTAAAAGCTGTAATTCACTAACACTGTGTTTAAAATTGTTTCATTTGATATGAGGCTTTCTCTGAACTGTTGCTGAACACAAAAAAAATATGGTAGCGTCCTTTGTAAGGTGAAATTATTTTGTTCTTCATGGTGCACCTTATCTACTGATGAGAAAGATACTGTTTCTTCAGCATGTGGTATGTAAAAGGAAGAATAGGTAATGTTTTAGTACTTAAACTAAATTAAGAGCTTTGTGTCTTGTTGGGGAAAAAAAATAGTATTTTTATTTGTTTTTATAACACAATCTATTTGTGATTGCCTAGGAAACCATTGTACAGACTGTGGAACAGATAGAAGAGTATAAGAAAAAAGTAGAGAAGCTGGAAGAATATACTAAGAAATGCACGTATGTTTAAAAATGAAAATTTGTTCTTTTATGTTATGTATTTTCAGGGTTGGTTTGTTTGTGATTGTGATGTTAATATTTCAGTTACTTCAGCTTGAATTATGATGAATTCTGCATATTAGGAATTATGATTATGATGACTCATCTGTTGTTTGAAACAGTTTTCTTGTGGATGTGTAGATCATGTCACTGTGGGTAGGGGTTGGGGCTATTAATGGCTAATGGGGATGATTAAATTCTCAGGGTATAAAGCAGTTCTGTAGTGCCGCTTTAGAAACAAGTTAATATCAACCTTGTGGATTAGAAGCTTTTGTCAGTTGTCCCTTTGTTTCCTGTGTCGTTTTCATTCTTTGTGAAATAGAGTATGCAAGCTGTACATTGAGCAGCTTGATCCAGCTTTTGTATTAGCCCTGTGTTCTGCAAGAAATCAGGGTAGATATTTTCAGAGATTGCTTTCAACCTGTCTTCTTCTGTGCATCTGCAACGTGTGCTTTGGCTTAGCAATGCTGTCTGCGTACTGAAAAAAGTTCTGCCACGGACAGAGAGCAACCAATCCATTGTGACTATGATGCAAAAAATTATTTTAATCAAGTAGTTAATAGTAGAGTCTTTGAAAGGGTGCAGTGTCATTATACTTATGAGTGAGAATTTTCAGGCTTTTTTAGTTTCACAGTATCAGACCTTTTATTAGCAGCAGGTAAAATAGTGTATTTTTATATACACACAGCCATATATTCTCACTTGAAATTAATTTTGGAACCTTAAAAGCTGTGTATATTGTGGAATGCAACTCAGTAAGCGACTTGTTTCATGAGGGCTGCTCCAAAAGCAGTGCCTGCTGTTTTACTGTGTTGGCCCACAACATTAGAGGCAGATATTGGTAGAATGACAACAGTGGTTGAACCTTCCTGTCAATATACTGTTACATTTTGTTGCTGTGCAACAGATGGCAGCAGAGGGGCATGCTGACAAAACAGCATCTGACATGGACACGTGTATGAAGCTAAGGTGTGGAGTTGGAATTCCTTCATGCTGAAAAAATTGCACCCATTGACATTCACTGATGTTTGTGCAGTGTTTATGGAGACCAAACAGTGGATGTTAGCACAGTAAGGGTATGGGTGGTGCATTTCACCAGTAATTTTTTTTTTTTATGATCTGTGACCACAGAATGATTTAAATTTTATAAGCCGAAAGCTTGTATAATTGTAAAAGTAAATTGCTTTACTGTTTTTGCTTCTGTTCAAAGTGAGTCACTGGCAGAAGAAAAAAAGAAGGAGGAAATGCTAGCTAAGGAAATGGAGAATTCAACAACACGAATAGCTGAAGTGAACGAAGAATTGAACAAAATAGTTGGTGAACTACAGAATGCCAGAATTGATTACCATGAGGGAAAGCGTCAGCAAATGAGAGCGGAGATTGTTGAAAGCCTTAAAAGACTGTATCCAGACTCTGTGGTAATTGAATGATTTCATTTAATGCCTTATTTCAGTATTACAAACTGAGAGCTCTGCTTTAGCATGAATAAGCAGCTAGAGTGAATTGGACTGTCCTGTATGATATTTTGAGCTTAAGTGCACTTGGCAAAATACAATGATAGAATCATTTGTGTTGGAATGAACTTTATAAGGTCATCTAGTCCTGCTTCCCTGCAGGGACATCTATAGCCACATCAGGTTGCTTAGATCCCAGTCCAGCCTGACCATGAATGTTTCCAGGGATGGAGCCTCCACCACTTCTCTGGATGACCTGTGTCAGTGCTTTGCTACTCTTATCATAAAAAAATACTTCCTTATATCCAATCTAAATCTTCCCTCTTTAGGTTTGAAATCTTCCCTCTTTAGGTTTCCCCTTTTCTTATCACAACAGACCCTGCTAAAGAGTGTGCCCCTCTTCAGACACTGAAAGGCTGCTAGAAACTAGGAGCATACAGACTACTGCTTGCATCCAAAAATAATTTTGATTTTTGTGTACTTCTTGTGGAGTGTGATTTATTTAGTTTTTGGATTTGTTTTCTTCTACTTCAGAACATTTTTTTTAACATGCTTATTTTGAAGAAATTAATGGGAAAGTTAGCTATAAGACCACTTATCCCAAAAAGAATACTCAGGAACATGAGATTTTTATGTTCCCACATGATTTCCTTAGCATATACCATATTTTACTGAAATTACTCTTAAGTACTGTCTGTTTTGTGGATGCCGATACTGCATTCTCTTAAGACCTCAAAATATTTACCAAGATAGTTTTATGACTTATTTAAACCATTTTATAGACACTTTTAAAGATAGTCCTTCTGATATTACTACTTGCGAGTTGTTTCCACCTCTTTAATACATCTGATCAATTGCATCTCCAGGTATATCTTTGTGTGCATGTCCTCATCCATTCTCATTTTAGACATACAGCCTAGGGATACTGTTTTGAAAATAATGCTTGTAAGGTGACACCTGTGGTTCTTATGCTAGCATAAGAACATAGAATGGTGTGTTTTGCTTCTCTGTCTTTGTTGGAACCTTCTCAAACTGTGGTGTTTGTTTTTTGAAGAGAGAAATAAATTTGGTTTTTGATTCTGCTTCACAGGTTTTTCAGTTCATATTGATAAGGTATAAAAAAAATAATCAAAGGTATGATTGCATGTATGTTTTTGCTAGCTTTTTGTGTTGAAACCCTACATGAGAAGAATTGGACTGTTTCTTGCTGGCCTAGAGGAGATCAGACGTTGAGGGTGCACTCAATCATTTCCTTTCAGGAGCTGCAAATAGAATAGTTTCAAACAAATGAAAGGTGGATAAGTTGAAACACCAGCATGTAAGGTAGCAGCATTGCTTTTGAGCTGCTCCTTACACTCTGATGTATTAATTCCAGATTACTGGATACAGTCCAAATTAAAGTCTCAGGGTAAAAGAATCCTGAGATTTCATCTTCTTATAATCCAGTAAGTCAGAACTGGGTGGAAATTTTAGTGTCAGCTGAATTCATAGGTAAAAAGTAGTAATGGCTTACTGCTTCTAAATGCTTAGATCTAAAATATTAAAGTTCCTGTACTTCTGCTGAAAGATACTTTTAATAGTTGGTGAGCATTTGTAGTACTGCAGTAACCATGCAGCAGTGTGTGTCCTGCTGCGTGAGTGCCTTTTCATTGATCTGACTGATTAACAAAATTAATATCACAGCTTATTACAGTTTTTATCATTCCTGCATCGCTGGATTGGAAATACTACTATTTTTTTGAAGATTTGGTTGGACTGCCCATATTTATTTCCCTAACAGCATGGCATTCCACCTGCAGTTATAATGGTCAGGATATGTATTAGTGCATAGCTTCAGTCTTTCAGAGAAATGTCACCTGTGTCTAAAGTTTCAAAATTAAAACAAATGACATCTAGGGAGTACATAGAGCAAATGAATTAAGTTACTCTAGGATCAGATTATGGATGGAAGCTATTGTTGAATGGCAGTGAAAATGAATATATTTGTAAAACTTGAAAGAATACTTCTGGCTTGTAAGTGATTTTTTTTGTGGTAGGTATTTGTTTATTGCATGACAGTGATATCTGATGATACTTACATGTTTAATTTGCTTTCATCTGCAGCAAGCAGTCAGTGATTACCGAGATTTAGATTTACCGTCACACTGCAGAATTAGTATGCACATGCAATTAATTTTGCTTGTGGAGGTCATGTCTTAATATGAGGCAAAATAGTCTTATTTGAATTACTCAGTACAAGAAAAGCAGGTTGAACTGGTTTCGTGCTACTAATAGATGCAGATACTTCTTTTTTCAGTTAAAACTGCAGTAGTAAGCAATAGTGCCTTTCTTGTTCTCATTTTCCAGTGAACTGCTCTAATTACATAGCTTGCTCTAAAATAATGCCTCCTATTTATTTCCATAGAACAGATATGAAGAGCACAGTAATATTATTTGATAGAACAAATTCTCAGGTACAGTAATTAGTTTTCAATGAAGTCACCACCGTTATCGGATTCACTTGAATGAGCTGATAGAGACACTCTTCATTTCATGGTGTGACACCTGTGCAGAGACATCCAGGATGCGACTTGCCTTTCGTGTCACTGTTACCACTGCTGAAACAAGCCACACACTGCCTCACTGTGCTCACATCCACTGTTTGGTCTCCATAAACGTTCAGTGAATGTCAGTCAATGTCAGTGTTGCAACTTTTTCTACACGCAGGCATTCAGCAACAAGCCTTTGCTTCATAAGCACTTCCATGTCAAACGCTGTTTTGTCAGACTGACCCTTTGCTGCCATCTGTCACATGACAACAAAACGTAATGGAATATTGATAGTAAGGTTCAACCTTTATGGCCAGCATCCGCCCTGAGGTAGTGGGCTATTGTAATAAAATAGGGGGCATTACTTTTGGAGCAGCCCTTGTAATTAGGACCATATCATCAGTCAAAGGTCTTATATGCTACATAGTTTCATTTCTGCAAAGATGCTTAACAAGTTTTACTATTGTTATTATATCATACTTCTAAAAGTATTTGCTAATAATTCCAAGTAAGACATTAACAGTCACCTTAGATAAAAATTAAATCTGTTCAGATTTTGAAAGCATACTTTAGTGTTTGATCTGGTGATTGCTGCAATTTCTATTTTTTCTGTCATAGACCCATTGTAAGAAAGCACAGATTATAGGCATGTAACACATTTTACTTCTGCTACTTCAAGATCTTGTATGCAGAAATTCTTCTTGATATCTGTAATTAAGTTTTTATTTCTCTCTGTATATTTTATTTTCAGTTTGGAAGATTGCTTGATCTGTGCCATCCTATTCATAAGAAATATCAGCTTGCTGTTACCAAAGTATTCAGCAAATATGTGACTGCTATTGTTGTTGCCACTGAAAAAACAGCAAGAGATTGCATTCAGTTCCTAAAACAAGAACGAGCTGAACCTGAAACTTTCCTTGCTTTGGATTACCTTGAGGCAAGTATATTTTTGCTGTCATCAGCAAGTTAATACACTTGTAAATCTTAATGCTGGCTCATTAAACGGGCTTACATGTTAAGGAAGAGCAAACATGATAGCTCAAAAAATGTCATGCTATCTTCTCCTATATACTTAGATGTTTTATGCCTGTGGAAATAGTATCACAAACCAGTTAAGTTTGGATGTCATCTTGTACAACCACCCTGCTCAAGCAGGGCCAACTACATCAGATTGCCCAAGTGATTTCTGAAAATCTTCAAGCATGGTGATTCCACGGTTTCTTTGGGCAATCTGGTTCGTTGCTCAGTCACACACACAGTAAAGAAACATTTTCTCATGTTCAGATGAAACCTCCTGTGCTCCAGTTTGTGCCTACTGCCTCTTGTTTTGTTGCTGGGCACCACAAAAAATAAAGCACGATTCTGCAGTCTTTATACCTTCCCTTCAGATACATGTACACAGAAGTCTCCCCCCCCCATGTGTCTCTCTTACTGGAGAGCCTAGGCCTGGACAGTTTTCTCCTCAGCAGTGCTGAAGAGGGGGGAAGGATCACCTGCCTCAGCCTGCTGGCAACATTGCTTCCAATTCAGCCTAAGATGCTTTTAACCTTCCTCTCTCCTAGGGCACATTACTGACTTATGTTCAACTTTGTGTCTACCAGGACACTGGTTCTTTTCTGCCAGGCTGCTTTTCTGGTTGTCAGCCCACAGAGCGTACTGAAGTGTGGTGTAATTCCTCCCCAGGGACAGAACTTTGTACTTACGTTTGTTGAATTCTGAGAAGTTCTCACTGACCAGCTCTCCAGCCTATCTAGGTCCATCTGAAGGGATGCATGACCATCTGGCCTGGCAGCCATTCCTCCAAGCTCTGTGCCATCTGCAAACTTGCTGAAGGTGCCCTTGTCCCCTGTCAGACTAATCCCGATTGTCAATGAAGATGTTCAGCAGGATGGGACCCAGTATTGACTCCTGGGATACGTACCTAGTTACTGGCCTGAAACTGAAGTTTGTGCTGCTGATCACCTCTCTCTGGCCTGGCAGTTCAACCAGTTTTCAATACACCATACTGTCTGCTCAATCTACCCATACATCAAGAGCTTATCTATGAGGATCTTATGGGAGAAAGTGTCAGAAGCCTTGCTAAAGTCTAGACAGACAATATCCACTGCTGTCCCCTCATCCACCAGGCAAGTCACTTATTTGTGGAGGTTTATCCGGTTGGTGAGACGTGGTGAACCTGGCAAGTCTGCGCTGACTATTCCTGATGACTTCATTGTGATTTATATACTTGGAAATGGTTTCCAAGATCAACCACCTTCCCTGGGTTTAAGGTGCAGATGATCTGACTCTAGTTTTGTGGGTCCTTCTCCTTGCACCTTCTGGAAGATTGGAGTGACGTTTGTTCTCCTTGAGTTCGTGGGCATTTCTCCCAGTAATGGTGACTGTTAAAAGGTTAGTGAGAGTGGTCTTGCAGCCAGCTCCCTCAGCATTTGTGGATGCACCCCCTCAGGGCTCCCAGATTCCTTCTGCATGTCCAGATGGCTTTAGCATTGCTCGACCTGATCTTCTTCAAATAGCAGTACATCTTTTCTTGCTCCTGCTTTCTCCTCTGGTGGCATTCGTGAAGGTCTGTCTAGATATATCCTGTGTACCAAGTCTCATGCAGCATTCAGCTGCACTTTCTCTCCTCTTTTGTCATCTGTGTACTGGCAGAAGCCCTTCTTCTGACATCTCTTGCCGGATTCAATTCCATTTGTACTTTGCCTTCCTTAACAACATATCTGCATGCTTGTCCAGTGCCTCTTTTCCTGCCAGATCATCCTTCCAGCTTCCATCGCATGTATGCTTCCTTTTTCTCATTATTATTATTATTAATAATATTTAGTTATTTTTTTTTTCTTTTTATCAGTAATGATTTGTTTTTCCATGGCATTTTTTCTTGACTTACTGCTTGCTGATATGGGCCACTCCTGGAGGAGAGATCTTTGAATATAAACTAGCATTCTTGGGCCACTCTTCAATTCAGAACCTTGTCCCTTGGGACTTTCCCACGCAGATCCTTGAAGGGACCAAAATAGCTTTGTTGAAGTCCAGCATCGTGCTCTTGCTTTTTGCCCTACTCTGTTCGCTCAGGTTCCTGAGCTACCCTATCTTATTCTTGATCATTGCAGCCAAGGTTGCCTTCTATCTGCAGGTCACCAATGAACCTCTCCTTGTTGGTGAGTATGAGGTCCAGCAGAGTTCCTCTCCTCTTAGGCTCCTCCCTCACTTTGCGTGAAGAAGTTGTCAGTGATCTTCAGGAACCTCCTGAATTAGTCATGCCCTCTTCTGTATTTTCTTGAGCAGATAACAAGCTTAATCCACTTTGTCTTCATGGTGAAGTGTCCTTTTGCAGACTCCCACTATAGTGTAACTCATCCTTTTTTTTTTTTTTTTTCCTTACCAGCTATCTCTTATTTCACCAAGCAGAGCTCTGTCAGTGCAGCTGTTTCCTTGCATACAGGGCAGCTCCAGCTCATGTTCACAAACCAGCCTTCGTCAAAAGACGATGTTTCCATTGCAGCACTCCAATCATGTGAGCCATCTCAGTATGTCTACACGATCCCAAGATTGTTGCCCTGCAACTGCAAGCAGATCTCTTAAACTCATCTTGTTTATTTCTCATGCATGTCCTAGTGTATGTGCACTTCATGTACAGTAAGAGACATAAATCCCAGGACTAGTATTGCACACAGAACATGAAGAACAGATGTTTCTGGTCTTGTAACAGTTGATACCCATTCTTTTGATTCGTACTTCTTGTTTCCAGACCATTGAAATTTGGATATGGTTTGCTATTACAACTTGAATTTTAAGCAGCACATATTTGCTTTAAAGGTCAAGCCCATCAATGAGAGGTTAAGAGAGATAAAAGGAGCTAAAATGATTGTGGATGTTGTGCAGACTCCATTTGCTCCATTGAAAAAAGTGATTCAGTTTGTGAGTGGGAACGGCTTGGTCTGTGAAACAGTTAAAGAAGCAAGACAAATAGCATTTGATGGACCAGTGAGATTGAAGGTAAGAGGGTGAATTTGTTTGCACGTGTTATGCATTTGATGCCATTTAAATAATATTTCTATGAGCATCCCACAAACTACTGCAGAAAAACACAAAAATGATACCTTGCTGTTCAAACTCCTTCTACATAAGGCACCAGATATTTCACATGCTTACATTTTCCTCTGCATGGTACATATAAATGATTTCCTGGGAAAAGGAAATAAATTAGAAAAGATTATGTTAGCATCCAGACATACTTCTTGACATTGTCCTCTACTTTTGAAAGGAAGGATGAGGAAAAAGGAATAATCATTCTTAAAACCATCCAATTTAAAAATAAAAACGTCATATTTCTAGCTTTTCTGTGAAGAAGTGCTTTCAAAATTTATTTTAATAATCTCTATTTTTTAGACAGTTGCAATTGTAGACTATAAATTGAAGAGGCAGCTTCTTTCTCCTTTTGTACCATATTTTCTTTTCAGCCATCTCTCTACTTCTTTCGTTGTCAGTAGAGCGCTTTTACGCACTTACTAAACCTTTTAAAAATGTGATTGAAACAGCTCTAAGTTGAAGATGAATGTGAATTCATGTTCTCTTGAAATTAGGTTAACTCCCCCAAAACTCCATTTTCTTTACTAAAATTTACATTTTCTTTTTACAGATGAGCTGTTTGTTTTTCCAGCTGCCTAGATTTCCTCCTCTCCATTATCACCTTGCTTGTTCTGCTTTTCTGACCTGGCTATAATCTTCATTGCCAATGTACACAAATCTCTCATTAATTTCCTCAGCACAAGGAAATGATAGCATTTCATTTCCCTTTTTGATCTGTTGTAATAATACCAAAGTGTGACTTGTGCCAAGAAACAGCAGGCTTTTTTTGTGTATTTCATGTTAACGTATTTTGGAACAGGGTCACCTGCTTAACCACCATATTTTCGTGCCCTGTTTCACAGGATATTTTGGCTGGTTTGTATAAAGGAAAATTTTAATTTAATTTTTACTTGCAGACAGTGGCACTTGATGGGACATTATTTCTGAAATCTGGAGTGATTTCTGGAGGATCTAGTGATTTAAGAGTTAAAGCTAGATGCTGGGATGATAAAGAAATAAAGAAAATGAAAGAAAGAAGAGATACATTGATTACCGAGTTGAAGGTAGGCCTCTTAAAAAAGTACTTAACTGCAAAAGGCTGTAAGTTGCATTTACTTTAACTTAGCTGTGGGAGAGTGATAAAGATGAGTCTCAAAACTTCTGGAAGCAGCAAAGAGGAGAGAGTAGTTGTTTATACACTTAGTTTTTGGTAAGGTAATATAGGTCCCTGTCTTTGGCTCATGGGTTGGTTCGCATATCACAGAGGTGGAGAACCAATCAAACATAATACATAGTTCTCCAGGGGAAAGGAATTATGTTCCCAAAGACTTCTAGCAAAAAAGTCAATACATTCTACCCACATGAAAATATCTGCACAGTCCAAAACCTGGCAATGTAAAATTTGCCATACATCTAGTAATCTCGGGCTGCTTGAGGAGAGAGTAGAAATTTGTATATATATGCTTTTTTTGACAAATTAATCTGTGCAGAATGACTATTGAATATGACCAGTGCTATCAGCATTTTCCTTCAACATGGCCTTTCTCATTGAGGTTGGCTTAAATAGCGCATGAAATTTGAAAAACAAGGAGTTTCCAAATAAGTAAGGCTTTGCTTTAAATGTTTTTTCTCTGTTCCCACTCTAATATTTTTCTAGGATTTAATGAAGATAAAACGCAAGGAAGCTGATTTGAAACAGTTGCAAGCTCAGTGCCGTGGAACTCAGACACGACTTAAATACTCACAGAGTGAACTAGATCTTATTAAAAAGAAACATCTTCCTAATCTCTATATGGTGTAGTACTAAGACTTTATAATTTTCATGCTTAATCACTCTATTTTTATTTTACCTGAGCTGTAATTACCAGTGAAGTAAATACGAATTCCTTATAGAGGCTCCTTACTTTGATTTGTTTTACGTACAGCAGTTATGACTAAAGAATTACTAAAACTTTTTTTTTTAGTTAAAAAACAATTGAAATTATTTTTCTTAAAATTAGATCTAAAGTTAATTTGAATTTCTGCTAAGCTTGGTCTATCATTTAGTAATCTTCAAACTTCTATAACTCAAACCGTGCTTATAAATTGTGCTTATGTCACTTGTTTTACTATTTACTAAGACTGTTGCTACTGCAGGTCAATCAGCAATGTGTGGGTAAATAACATTTAGTATTTTTAATCGGAAAAACAGTTAACCTGGTTCAGAAATGTGTTAGTTTCTAGAAAGCTGACCATCTCATTAAGAAAAGTTACTATTTTTTTCTCTTCTATCTAGGAAAAGTCAAAGCTGGAAAGTGAACTGGTAAATACTGAGTCTCAGCATGATATGATAAAGGAAGGAGTAGTACAAAGAAAACTAAAACTAGAAGAATTACAGAAGCAGATTAATGAGGTAGGTCCTTCTGTTCTAGTCAGGACAGGAACAGGCTGCCCAGAGAAGTTACGGATGCTCCATCCCTGGAGGCATTTAAGGTCAGCATGGGTGAGGCTCTGGGCAGTTTGTCTAGTTGCAGTGCTGCCTGTAGCACGGAATTATGAGCTTAGTGAGCTTTGATCCCTTCCAATCTAAGCAATTCTTTGCTTCTCTGCCTGGTAACTTCTACATGAAAGCCTGTGCTTTTGCGCTTTTAATCAGAAACAGGAAAAGTTTTCTAAGATGTTACACGATCTAGCAGGTTAGATTTCCAGACTGTCTTTTCTGTAGACTGTTCTGCCACCTCATAACCCAGTTCCCTATCATTCTCTTCAGGCAGTCCCCAGAACAGTTCATACAGACAGCTGACATTCAAAAGTTCTGTTACTATGAAAGAATGAAGGAATTCAGTGAGGTGAATAATATTAAAGCCTAATCTGACAACAAAAGCAGTTTCATACTGTGTTCTACTAGAATTCTGGCAAATCTGTCCCTTCTCAGAAAAAAATACGTCATTCCCTACTTCTTTTTGGAATCCACCTTTCTCATTACTTTTGCCAAACAACAGGGAATCTGGTAGAGACTGCCAAAGAGTGATGCTGCAGTTTTAACAGGAAAATTCAAAGCCCTGTGCCTAAATACTTAGGTAAATGTAGATCTGTAGGCCATTTATAATCACTGTCCGGAGTTATTTGAGGTGTACAGTAATTCAGACTGATGAGAGGGTCGGAAGTAAGGAACTTTCTTGAATTAATTTATGAGTGAAATTTTGTATGTGAAGAGAAACCAAAAATACTATGCGTTGTCTTTCTTGCTTGTGGTACAGATGTGGGGGAGTGCAGATGTGAATCATCTGCAGGCACTGAGAAAGTCATTAGAGTTTTGGCCATAAGAATCCTATATCCAGGTAATTTTCTTTGTAGTGGGGGGAAACAAAAAACAACAGCAAAACAAGAAAGGCTGGCCATCAGTTTCCTAAGAATAGTATAAGTTGATTGGATATAGCATTTGGTATCAGGTTAAACGTGTCTGTAGGTTGGCCTACAGACCAACCGAAACAATGTATACAAACTTGGTTTTTGCTTTGTGAAGTTGTTTTTGTTTTGTTCAGTCCATTGTTTTTACTGCTAACTGTACACTGTATAGTTAGGAAATCAGACACTGTTGCATTCTTTTTTTACTTTTTTTGCTGTGGCTCTGTTGTAAATGAGATGTAGCCATTAATATTCATGGCTATTTATTGAAAGGATTAAAATGAATGGGGCTACATCAAGAGGCTTAATGTAGCTCATTAGTGTCTTCTCTACTATTTCTCGAGGTGAGTGGAAACCACGGACAAAACTAGGGAGGCTGCTTAGACTGTAATAATTTGAATTGCATTTATAATGACCAGTTGCTGGCAGGAAGAGTTTGGATGAAAGTAACATTTTGCAGATCACGCACTTTATATTCGGCATTTGTGCTGAAGCTCTTATTTGAAAATGTCAAGTACAGATTCTTTCTCCTTTCTGAGCTTGTTTCCTTTGAAAGCCTAGCCTGTAACATGAGATGATCATCTAAGCATTTTAATTCTGTGATTTGCAAAATAGCATAAGCATTTCTTTGCTCCTTTTCCATTTATTCAAAGGCAGAAGATGCTGTTTTCCAAGAATTCTGTGAAGAAATTGGCATTGAAAATATACGTGTGTATGAACAAGAACATGTGAAAAAACAAGAAGAGATTGATAAGAGAAGGTGGTATTTGTAATTAAAATATGAAAACAGTGTAGCATGTGAGTTGGGCATGTAGATGAGTAACTGTCATAGCATAAAAACAAAAAAACAAATGGAAAATGTTATATTACCATTGCAATAATTAGTTAGCAGTTGCACAGCTGTGTTTTGGATTTATTAGACAGTACAGCCAGTGACATTTTGCAACAAACTTGAAGATAAAATGTGTTATTTTGGTTGTACTGTTGCAGAAAAATAAAGTAAATAATAGTTTTCTTAAATTCACATGAGAAGTGGCGGTTCAGGGTGATATGAAGGCTTACTCGTGGTCATAAATCTTAAAGGATGACTGAATGTAAGATGCAGTGACTTGATACAGAAATGTACTACTAAGGAAAATGGCATCTTAATTTTCTCAGACAACCTTCAGCTGGTATTCCACTCAGACAAGTGCATGTCAAAGTACAACAAATATTTGACCACTTTGTATCTTTGATAACATACGTGTTGGAGAATTACTACTGTATTTTTGTAAGTTCCAGTATATCCATAGGATTTGGTATAGTGGAATCAATGATGGAAATATAAGTAAGTTCATGTGATCTAGTAGGAAAAAGAGAGAGACAGAGAAAAAATTTAAAATCTATCTACATTAGTAGCATCAAGTCATGGTTACTAATCTACTTCTAAGTGTTGGCTTGAAATACTGTTCCTTCACCAGGTTGGAGTTTGAAAATCAGAAGACACGACTAAGTGTGCAGCTGGAATATAATCGTGAGCATCTACAGAAACTAATAGAAACCGTCAGCAAGTTAAGGGATACTATTAATAAAGATGAATCTGAGATTACTGGATTACAGAAGGTGATTAATATATATATACGCATAGAAAATATCTGGGGCTGAAAGGAAGGATTGCATTCAGTTGCACATAGTTAATTCTGTAGAGTAATTCTAGTGCTTAATTCTGTGTTGGTAGTGTAAGTATGGAAAAAAAATGTGGTGCATGTCATTCTTTCAAACTCAGAATAACTTGTGTAAGGATACTTAATAATTATTAAAAATAAACTTACTAAAAGTAAAATTGGAATCACTATGTACAGAGTTGTGTTTAGTTTATATAAAAAGGCAGCATGTGACTACAGATAAAGCTGTGTAACTGGGACTTGTTAGAAGATTTTATGTGAAGCAGTAAATAATATGTGCTTTCATTTTTAAGGTGCTTCATAAATGCTAATAGGCGTAAAATAACCAAGTATTAATACTAAATACAGATTTTTAATTGAAATATTATGCAGGGACTCTTTTCTTCATAGTGTTTCTTATTTGTTTTTTAATTCAGCTGATCAAGATCCTGTTGACTGTAGAATAAAAATACACATTCATAATAAATTTTCATAGTATTTATGTTTTTTGTTAAATAAACTGTGCTTATGGGGCACTAGAAAGTGATGGAGAAAAGATGCGCTGCAGTGCTTTGTTTGAAAAGTAAAGCTGCTCCAACATGGGCAGAGAAGCCACGTGCATCATTTGACATCTGTATTCTAGTAGCATATAAAGAAACAAGCATACTTAGTAAGTGTATATTTGATTCTGAGAAAAATAACAGTCTGACTCAGGCGTGCACAAAAACTTGACTTGATGCCTGTGTGTAATTCTTTTGAAATACAACTTAGAGCGAGTTCTGATATTTTTGTCCTGGAGAAGGATTGCGCGTATTAAGTTCTGAAGGTATTCTGGTCTGATGCTGTAACAGCAGTAAATCTTAATTAAATTTCCATAATGCTGATCTCTGAAGGACCCTGCCTTCCTGCATGTCGTGTTAGGTTGACTATATTTTTACACCTCAGTTTTAGCAATTCATCAATGGTATGATTTACACAGGGGTAAAGGGGTAAAAACTCATGTAAAGTCCTTCCACTTGTATTTGTTCTTTGAAGAGATAGTTGTTCTCTGCAGATTACCTTAGGATTTATCTTTATTGAACAATACTTTCTACACGATTTCAGGTTATGTGAGATGATGCTAAATATTTTGTACAAGTACAGCAGATGAGAACACTTTTTGAAGGCTGCTGGGATAACAGAGGAAAAGAGAGTAGGCTACAGATTGTAGGAGTTCTAGGATTCCTGCCTTGTTTAATGGTGTTACAGTCTGCTGCAGTCACAAATCTGGAGCTGGCCATGCCTATGTATAAAAAACAACTGGATCTTCTAACATGTAATACAGGCCTTTCTCACAGTGCTCTTCAGACTTTATGCTGCAGCACATTTGAAAGTATTGTAACAGGTTTAAACTTCAACTCTATGTAACTATTTGTATGTTAAAGGTCCTTTGTTAAAAGGTTTAAATTAATGTTTCTTTTTAAAAATATTAAATATTAATATTTCTATGCAGGATGAGGAAAAGCATCTAAAAAAGGTGAAAGAAATTGAGGAGGAGGAGCAGCATCTTAAAGATAGATTAAGTGTTCAGAAATCTGAGATTATAAAAACCCAAAGTGAAGCAGAGGAGTTGAGAAAAACATTTTTAACTCTTAATAGGTAATTATTTCACTCTTGGGAAAAATGATTCATGTAATAATTTTTAGAAGAGTTTTGGCGATGAGATATTTGCATTTCTTAAGTTCTGTTGTCTTGTGAAAAATTAGAGACATGGTAACTTGCTTTTACAGTATGCATTAGTTAAAAAAAGCTTCTGTTTTGATACTTGGTTCCAGAAGGTAATTAGAATATTTCATGAGACCATTCCGTAATAAGATATGCTGTTCTATATAGTTTATTTGTTTAGTATTAGTTCTTGTGATTTCTAATGAATATGTATTGATTTCTGATAAGTACATATTAGCTTACAATTTGATCTCGGGGGAGCATGTTAAAAGATGTTGAACGTTTCTGGAAGTGTTTTACTGCACACGTTGTTTGCTGGTTGTTTCATATTTTTATCTGGGTTTATTTAATAAGTGTTTTCTTTTTCTGATTCCTTCAAGTGTTGGGCACCTTACACTAACATTAATTTAGGGTCAATGTTTTCTCCTTACCCTTCTTTTAAATCAGCTGCTTTAGAAACAGTTTACAGTTCAATTTACCGCTTATCTTATTCAGGAGTTCTTGTGATGTTTGAAAAAAAATATGTTGGCACAAACTTTCAGAATTCAAAATGAGCCCTTAATTTACATGCCCAGTAATGCATTTTATAGTGTTTAAGATTAGCAGTGCGAGACTGTTTTGTCTCTGCCTCATTAAATAACTTAATGCTATCAAAAGAATTTGTTGCAAATGGAGTAATGATAAAAAAAAAAAAATTGATTACAGCTTGAGAGGCATCAAATCTGTATATATATATTAAGGAGAGCAGAACAGAACATGGTTATCGATTGTTATAGTTGGAAAGGATGCTATAGTGTGAACTTGGAATATGTTGGGATTATATCCTTGCTACTAGCACTTGGATTATAATAGAGTGTAGAGTTAGTATGTTACAACAGAGCTTTAGTTTACGTGCTAGAATAGTGCATGGTTCCCATGTCAAACTCAGTGATTTCAGGGCATGAAGGGAGTGGAAAAAATTAGTGCTATTTGCATTATACTTTAATGAAGATTACAGAGATAGTGGTTTTTCATGCTGTATGACTATAGGTATTATTGGTAGTGATGCTGCTGCTCTTCAGTGGTTTTGTGCCTTTTGTGTACGTAGGGAAGCTGCAAAATTACAAAAGGAAGCTGCAGCTATAGAAGCTTCTCTGGAAGATAAAAGATTAAGAAGACATAATATGCTTCTAGAATGCAAGGTGCAGGACTTGAAAATACGTCTCCTGTCTGGATCGTTGGATGACATCAGTGAAATAGAGGTACTTTATATAAGTAAAGATAGATGCCGTGTAGGTGCCATTATTAACCTTGAATTTAATTATATTCTTTTCTTTACAGGGCTAGTTGTCTTAAATAATAATGATAAATTAATTGGTTTTGTGTGATCAAGCCTCATCCATTCAAAAGGATGATTTTGTTTATTTTTTAAGACAGAGATATTGTTTGCAGTTGTTTTTGCATGTGCTTATGATGTATTCCTGCTCAATATGTAAAATCGTTGTGGTACAAAATGGCGTGAAGCAGTATTCTAGATACGTATGTATAAGAGGGCACAGGGGATCACGTCAATCATAAACAAATACAGCTTGTGTCTGGGTTGAGATAATATTTTGATTTCAGTATATGTAGATGTTTACAGAAATAAAAACAGGCTAAAATAGAAATATTCCTGCTATCAGGGAATTGAACATTACTACTTTTCTCAATCTTCCCTCTTTCAGCAACAGTATCTTTTGTGTGGAGAAATTATTCTTTGTCCCCTTTTGTGAAAGAAAAGAAGTTATTTATTTTGAAGTATTTGTGCCTACAAAGTTGGAAGAAATCTTGTTGAATCCACTCCTTAGAAAAGTGCTTTTGTTGGAGGATAGGTCTAAATAGGGATGAGTTTGTAGGCAGCTCAGCTATCTGTTTATGAATAAGGAAGAAAAAATTAAGGAAGTTGGCAATTGGAATAACAACTTTGATTCCCAGATAACAGTACTGAAAAGACAGAAATATTTGGTTTTAAGAAGCCTGGTAGGGAAAGGACTGATGGTGAATGCAGCATGGCATGTGTTTCATTTAAAGACGAGTGGCCGTTTGAACTTCAGGCTCACAGTGTCCAGAAGATACTCTGCTTATGTCAAACAGAACTGAAGTTCATTTTTCTCAAGCCGGCTAAATAAAAGATGTACCTTGACTTACACATTTCAGAGCCTTTCCTTGAATGAAGAATGAATTACCACAGAAAAGTAAATTATTTCCCATCAGGAGAGAATAGTATACTTCCAGTATGCACATTATTCTATAAACATATTTCAGAGAAATTACAGCTGCTTTCATAGTAGCTTTAAAATGAAATTGGCAGATGTTTTTGTCTTCATATAAAAGGTGCACTTATATTCTTAGAATTATAGGATCTTAACTGTTAGCTCAATTTTGGACGGGGGTCAAGCAATGGAAGAAGTTTACCTCATGCCCTGTTACCACTGTGTCTTTTTCTGTCTTTTCAATGTATTGTTTAAATGATTTAGAACTTTTGTATTTCTGAAGCAGAATGTCCATTTTGCCCATAGCTAGGAACTGAAACAGAGGACACTCAGACTACAGGTATCTATGAAAAGGAAGAGGCAATTAAAATAGACTACAGTAGCCTACCTAAGGAACTGAAGGTAATCTCATTTTAAATAAACACAAATTGAGTTTATTTTTTATTTAAAATATTTCATTTCTTGAAATTATTTGTTTATTCCTCACCCTAGCCTACAAATGGAACATTTTTAAAACACCGGTAAGCTTAAGTGTTTTGGTTTTGCAATTGTACGTAACACAAATACATGAAGTTTTTAGGTAGGTCAGATATCTTTTCTGTTACGTTTAACTAAAAGTCTACCTAAACCATAAGAAGAGCATAGAAAAACTGTAAATATAATTCTTACTTTTTTTTCCTCCTTCTTTACCTTCTGCCTTCAAGTTCTGCCACAGAAGGTTATAACACATAACACTAGAAACTAGGGATTGTCTACTGGAAGTGGTGGGAGGGAACTGTGTCATTTTCTTTCCCATTGTATTTTCAGAAACTGAATCTTAGAACTCTGTGATTCCATTACAATCATGTTTTCTTAGCACATTTGTGTGTGAGTAAATTCTTCTTTTTAACCATCATAGCTAAAATGAATTATGGATGTTAGGTACAGAGCAAGGAGGAATTTGAACTTTTGTCAAAAAAAAGTCTTCAGTAAACCACAAAGAAATATTTTCTTTGCAAATCAAGGAATGAAGACAGCTGAGATTTGTCCTGTATTATAACTTCTGATGGATATCTAGGCTGAAGAGACGTTTTTATTTGTAAAACAATACTTAGGACCTAGTAGATTGATTCTGCGAACTATGACTCTGGATAGGGAGCATTAGATGTTGGGGTTTTTTTAGTTTTGTTTCTAGATAGAACTATCAGATGAGTGGAGTGCTTATCCAGAAACCATGACTGCTTGTTTTATACATGGAAATGTCTTAGCCTAAAAGCAAATCTTATGATCTGAAGTTTGTTTTGTTTTGTTTTTTCTCTGTTGTTGTTGTTTATTTCTTTAGGACCTAGAGTCTGATAAAGAGATAGAGGCTCATCTGAACCAGATTCAGCAGGAAATAAAATCTAAGGAGAGCATCTTAATGAAGACAGCTGTTCCAAACCTGAGAGCAGTAGAGAAATTACAAATAGCTCGGACCAAATTCCAAGAATCAATGGAAGGTAACACTGAGTCTTCCTTATTGTTTCTTTAATGGCCTTGAAAGTTCTTGCCCTAATTAAAATTCCTTTTTATGGGGTTGGTCCTACAGTTTTTGCTACTTTCAGGTATTAAGGTATTTCTTGTGCTTAAGTGTTTATCCTCAGTTGTCTTTTAACTATATTTAAACAATTTATTAATATATACTCTGCAATATTTCATTGAAACACAGTTGAAATGATTAGCAAAAATCACTTTGCAGAAGTGGTTACAAGTAATTTCTTGACCAAATGACATTGTGAAATATTTTCTTAAAAGGACTGACCTTAATTGTAAAATCATTTTAATTTTTCTTAATTAGAAGGTTGTCCAGAATCTCAGACATAAGCATCACTGTAAAATTACCAATGTCCTCAAAGAGAATTGCATTGAATTACTACCAAATTGAAGGAGTTCTGAATCTGTAACCAGTAAATGCTTGGGCTGCTTAAGGCCACGCTGCCTAGAGAAACAATTAGGAAGAAAAACTTTGTTGCTTCAGAGCAGTGTGGCATAGAATATACTGAATATATGTAACTTTCCCATTTTGGAGGCCACCAATTAAAATCTGGGAGGAAACTCATAATGTTGGTGTGCTGTCTGTTTGTGTGTTAGAATTGTTTCTGTAGTATTTTCCTTGATGCTTGCTGTGGGACACAGTCCACTTATTTTTTTCTGTATATTTTCTTAGAGTCTTATTATGAAATAATTTTAGAATTTTTTTCATAGCTTTTGAGACCAGCAGAAAGGAGGCCAGAATATCCAAGCAAGAATTTGAAGAGGTGAAAAAAAGGAGATATGAACTTTTTAGCCAGTGCTTTGAGCATGCATCCATAGTTATTGATCAGGTCTACAAGAAACTTTGCAGAAACAGTAGTGCACAGGTGTGTCATGTTCTCTGGTACTTGGCTTAAAATGCCTCCAGGAGGCTTTGCTATGCAGAATTAGAAAACTTAATCTGCACACTGTGATTGTTGTACTTCAAAAGAAACTTCTGCCTAAGAAATTGTACACATACACAGGTTTGCTGCTGGCTTCTCCACCAGTTCTCTTCCATTACTTTTCTGTAGAGAAAGAAATGCCATTCCTTTCACAATGATGACCAAGGAATGTATGAGAAACATACAAGGAGCTACAAGATTATTTTTGCTAGCAGTGATTTGCTAACTGTCCGTATATGTGAAAAAAAAACATTTGAGGTATTTGCAGTGGCATAGAACTAGAAGTTGCTTTGCAAGATAGTTGACATGTATACAGCCTGAATAACAACAAAAGACATTTTCTCACTGGAGAAAAAGAGGAAAATATGCATTACTTCCAAAAAAACAAAGGTGCTGCAAAGACTGTACTTATTTGCGTGACTGTTTATCAAAGAAGTTGCTTTAAATCAGTGCAAATGTAGCATTGTGGTTTTTTGAAAGTTTGTTTCAAAAAAAAAAAAAAAAAAAAAAGGAATATGTGGACCATTTCCAAAATGGTTTTGTTAATTAGCCTTCTTCATCATTCATCAAGAGGAGTATTCACTGGGAGGTTTAATAGTGTTAATATTCAGAAGCGATGAGAAGCTTCATCCAACAAGTGAAGTTGATTTATCAGCTTCAGGCGTAGCTCAGTCAGTATTTAAGTCTAAAAAACGCACATCACAACAATATTATAAGTGTCACTATCAACATTGAGATGTATGCATTTCCAGGCATTCCTTAGTCCTGAGAATCCTGAGGAGCCTTACCTGGAAGGCATAGGCTTTAATTGCGTGGCACCCGGAAAGCGCTTTATGCCAATGGACAGTTTGTCAGGAGGAGAAAAAACTGTAGCCGCTCTGGCTCTTATATTTGCTGTACACAGGTAAAATATTTTGGTGTTATACAAGTATTTGGCTTTATAAGTGATAGGAAGAATGCATACTTAAACGTGTTAAAAATCTGCTAGTACTGTATCTTAATATTTACAAAAATCTTTCATTCTTTACCTGTCATTACTCATTATCAGAATAATTTTTTGGTAGCGTGACTCACAGTCATTAGAACACTTATCAATATTTTTGCATTTAAATGCAAAACACTGTATTTTCTTTTACAGTTTTCGGCCTGCACCGTTTTTTATTTTAGATGAGATAGATGCTGCCCTGGATAACACAAACATTGATAAAGTAAGTTGGTCTCTCTTCCTTTGCCTTTTTAATCTACACATAATGGTATCTTTTGCAGGAGGATGGCTACTTTTCATTAGATGTTACAGGGCTAGAGAGATTTCTTACAGTGTTTAACCCAGTTGAAAATTTCATTGTGTTTAGAACAGAAATAATGATCATACATGAGATGTTTGACTAAGGCTAGGTTTTAATTCCTAAATCTAACAATGTCTTTTAAGCAGTCTTCAGTCTGTGAATTTGAGAAAACAGAGCAATTCTGTAGAAAATTTGCCCCATGAATGTGTGTGGTGCAATCTAAGACAAAGGCCATCTGGGAATTGCTGATTGGGTTTGTTGAGTTGGAATTTTTAAGGACTTTAAATTCGCTTAATTGTAAGAAGCAGAAGGGAGTGTATCTAGGTGTTGAAATTCAATTCTTTATATTACTGGAATATGTTATGTTACTGTCTTACTAAATATTTTCATCTCCATTAATATCAATTAGGGACTATAACTCCCATTATTTTAGAATTCTTGTTTAATGAAAAAAGCTTCCTGTTGCTCTCTGACTTTATTTTTGCCCTATTGGTAGCAGTCACTAGAATGAAAATTTGAGTGGAACAGAGTAGAATAGAATGGAATACAGTACGCAAATATTGCCAACAGTAGATGTTATTTAAGGGAGAAAAAGATCTCCACATATCTATGGACTTCTTACTGTGGAATTATTCCTTTCTTGATAAAATAAAGCAAAGGGATATTTCTAACAGTATTATTGGTGATGCCAAGTCTTAGTAAAAACTAATGAATCAAATCCGTTTCATGAACACAGTTTGTGGTGGTTGTTTTTTTTTTTTTTAAATGAACTGTGTTATGCCAAGTACAGTGCAGATTGCTTTGAAGATACCTCTTCAACCAGCAGCTGGTGAAAGATTAACTAGTCATGCCTGCCAGATAGAGTACCTTCTCAGAGGTTACTGACCCTTCATAGCTCTGTGAAAGCCTTTTCCAAAACCAGACTTCTTAATCATTTGTTGGGATTCAAGCCTGTGAGGGATACCCATAATCCATTACTTCTGAGACGATATACATTGCATTTAACACAGTCCACCACGTTTCAGCAATACTAGATAAGATGTAATGGAACTGTAATGAAAATAATTACGTGTTGTTAGGCTCCGGCTGTCAATGGCACTGTTGGAAACAAGATTACAAATAAACTGATCACAAAACACCTCCATAATCTACACTTTTTAACAGGATTGTTTTCTATTCATTAGTCTTCCAGGACCGCTATGACTTGTCACACCAGTTGAAGATCCTGTGCTCTGCTTATATATTGTGTTTTCTGAATGTGCCTCTTAATTCTGGATTCAAATGTGTTGTGGCTGATGATGTTGGCCACAGTTACCCATGCTGCCTTCACACTCTATTATCTTTCTTTTCTTTTATGTATGCATTCTGTGAGGTTCCTGGCTTCTGGTATGTTACCAACTTCCCATACAGATTATGAACCATGCATTAACATAACTGATGACGAGGCACTTCTCTGCAGTTTGCCTCTCCAAGTAGGCATATTCTGATGTATGTGATAGAGATCTCCAGTTTATATCTTGGAATGCACTAGGCAGCATTCCTTTTCAGAATGCTATAGACAGACATGTTTCTAATTGGACAGATTCCTCTTCAGATAAAAAACACATTCTTAGCCTGTTAAATGTTTTCAGAAGAGCATTAACAGTTGTTAACCAGTTCCTGTCTGCTTGCACTGTGGCTGGTGGGGATTACTGAAATGGCAGCTCTTTTCACCCCAGCAACATAAAGCAGGCAAGCTGTGACAAAGGCTGTTACATTTACATATGTGGAGCGTGACTGCCTGTGTGATGCAGGAAAAAGGGTAACAAAATATTGGTTCCCTGAAATAAAACCTTTCACTTGCTCAAACATCTGTGTAGGTGTATGTAGTGTCTTAAATTGCAGAATGAGCAAAATCAACATGGCAGTGATGTGCAAGTAAAATTTATATGCTTCCCTGATCCCTGGGTCTTTCATAACTCTTTCCTAACCTGTAAGATACAGTTGTTATCAGCCTGATACTAGAAAGCACCAAAACCTTCAGAGGAATTAAATACAGCAAGTGAATAAAACTGATGTATGAAAATGTTTTATGTTGCTAGTACTTTATTGGTAGCTAGTTTTTATGCTTAGAACTAAGAAATCTTCATGCTTTTTCAGTTTTGAGATCTGTTTTAGCAAATCCTTAATAATTTACTTGTACCATAAGATGAATGTTAACGATGTAACTCACTAGTGGCTGTTCTTTCACTGGAAAAAAAAATAACTTCCATCACACAGATAAAAATACAGACTAACTGAAAAAGTGCTGGGTTTTCTTTACTTAATTCATATTGTGTGTATTGCCTTTTTTCAGTCTCAGGCTTATCACTGAATATTTTTATGTTACTTTGGAGATGATTGAGGGGAAAAAAAACAGTTGTCATCTGCAGTGAACTTAGTATATAAGCACTGACTGTCCTTTTGCATTTTTTTCCATACTCAGGAATTTCCACCTCCCTTCCAATTGCATTAGTGCCAATGAAAAATATTTTATGTAACGTTTTTCTGTAGCTTTATACATCAGATTGAATTATAGTTTTCATATACATTTTCAAAAAGCAGCAAATCTGAGGTGTTTCCATAAGGCAATACAATTTATGTCTTAAGATACTTATTTTAACAAATGAATTGCTGAATGTAATGTAGTTCAGTTCTTTCCTCATCATTGCTTAATTATAGTAATTACAGCACAGTTTAATTCTACCAGAACTAACTTATTTGTCTTCATTCCAAAGGTATCAATTTTCATTAGGGAACAGGCACATAAACAATTTCAAACGGTAGTTATTTCTCTGAAGGAAGAGTTTTATTCCAAAGCAGACGCATTGATTGGAGTGTGTCCAGAGGTAACAATTATTACTTATATTTTTGTTAAATAATGCAAGCTGATTCTGTTGCAGTACTGATTTACATCTTAAGAGTTAATACAGTGACTCATGTATGAAACTATATTGTTGGATTTGAAGTATTTTGTGTTTAGAAATAACTACATGTATTCTCTTGATGAAAAGATCACTTTGGTAACTCAAGCTCATTACTCTAAGACTGTTGCTTACAAAATGCTTAAATCAGACGTTTTTAATTGTATGATCCTTCCCCTTTTCAGCATGATGACTATGTGTTCAGTCGAGTACTGACTTTGGATCTTACCCAGTTTCCAGAGGATGAAGAAGAAACAGAGAATAACAAACGCAGATCTTCAGAATAAAAGCATGGATGGATTTAGGGTCAGGAGGCAGGTAGAACTGTGTTTACAGCTGACTGTTAAAAACCTTTAGTTAGAATATGGTCATTAATGGTTAATAGAAACATATTTACCTTTTAAAAAAAAAAAAAAAAGGCATTTTCTTCAAGTTTTTGTTTGTTTGTTCTGCTGCCTTAAGATGAATTATAAGCACACTGTTACGGAGCATAAGACTTTTTTTTTTTTTAATGAGAAGAGATATGTTTAGTTGTATCTCCAGTGCATGCTAGCACTGGACTATCTCAAGACCTTTACAGTCTCTTTTCTATGATGCAGCTGCCTCTGTTTACATTCAGGTGAGATTATTTTGCTTTTTTGAAAAACAAACAAACAAACAAAAAAACCCAAGATACTGGAATATGGCTGTTGCTTTCTGTGATTTCTTGATGGCTGTAATACATCAGTTGTCCACTGTGGGATTATGAAAATAGTCAATTTTACAAAAGCTCACCTCCTCTCTCCAGAGGTTTGATGTACCCTGGAAGAAATTCCCAAGGCATTTTCCCCCACACAGAATGGGAAAGAATAAAACAGGTGTGAGGCAGCTTCCAGACAAGCCTTAGAAAAAGAGCATCTTCTGTTAGTTTGCATTTGAGAAGAGTTAATATGTAGGTGTCCCAGTGCATTCAAGGTGGATGTGCTTCATCTAGGGATAATGAAGTTGGTTACAGAACAAGTTTGAGATCTAGAATCACTTAATGTGGCTTCTGTTGCACCTTGGTGTTTACTGATGAGCTTTATTGGGCTTGTACTTGCTCCTGATTATTTCTTGCATTCATATACCAGTTTCCTGCAGTCTACCATGGCTGTTATATACTTAGATCTTCTGATGTGTTGCTAATAAAAGTGCTTGTTGCACTCAGCAGTTGAGTTTACTAGGTAAGGAAGGAAGGACCTATGCAAACAGATAGACTGTTCCTAGGAAGAATGCTACAATGACATAAATGTGTCCACCCAGCTGTAGACAAAGGTTTATCAAATAGTTACATTGTAGCCCCATTCCATTAAATAAAGTTATTTACTCTGAATATAATCCATGAGTAAGCTTAATTCCTTTGTATTAATGTATTAGGCATGGCAGTGTTTTTATTGATGTGAACAATGAACAGAAGGAAAGCAGACTCGTAGTGTTTTTCAGGGACCTTTGATCCACGAGTTATCACACTGTGTTATCAACACAAATAGAGAAGTTTTGCTTTTTAACCATTTAAAAGAACACTTGGTTGAAAGCTTATATGGGCCCACGCAAATACACTGAGAATAACTAACCTGAATATTAAAGACAGAAGTAAAGAAGGCAGTCAGAATCTCAGCCTTTTCCTTGTTCTCAGTGACAATGTTTTGCACTGTTTATTAATTCATTGACTGACAGCTGCATTCCAAATTATGTAGCCAAATAAAAATTGTATACCTTTAAACACAGTTTCATCATCATCTATGGGAGACTTAAAAAACTATATTAGAGAATTAGGAATGAAAGAGGTCTGTGAGGATGCCTTTGAAAGTCTGGATGTGATGAAATTTTCAGCAGGAATGAGAGATCTCATCCTGCAACAAGCCCCAACACACCAGTATGGTTCTTTGGTATCCATACTAAACCCTCTGAGGGGGGGTTATAATAGATAGAGGCCATAATACAACAGGCCACCCAATTGGTGGCAGGTCTGTGGGGGACACACCAATCAGCACCAATGAGCCAGGCACAATGTCTAAAGAGAGGTCAGAGGTCCATCTATGACCACAACCTTGGAGACCGACCTCTAAAGTAATCTGATATGGATCCATTAAGGTCTTAAGTAAGCAAATGTTCAATTACCTGATTAGGGCAGGAGTTCAGTTTAAAAAGATTGGCAGCCTAATCAGGTCCTATCACAATTAATCAGACAATTAAAGCAGAAGGAGTTAACAATCATAGAACGCATTCCATTAGAGAACAGAAATGTGGAATCTAGTGGATTTCAGTCCCATCAAAAAAGAGTAAGCCTCCTCAAACAGCCCAGGCAGCTGCAGCTAAGCCATCAGAGGAGAAAGACTTAGGGATTGCCAAGCTAATGGCATAACACAGGAGCCAAAATCCCTTGGTACTGTGGCCTACAGCAGAGGCTGGAGGCACTATGTTGAACTAATGATTCATTGGTCCAGAAAGAACATTCAGCAGGCTGTGGCACTAGTGGAGTAGAAACATCAGTTGTATCACAGAATCATAGAATGGTTTGGGTTGGAAGGGACCTTTAAGATCATCTAGTTCCAGCCCTCTGCTATAGGCAGGGACACCTTCCACTAGACTCAAAGCCCCATCCAGCCTGGCCTTGAATGCTTCCAGGGAGGGAACATCCACAACATCACTGGGCAACCTGTTCCAGTGTCTCAACATTAAAGAATTTCTTCCTATTATCTAGTATAAATCTACCTTCTTCCAGTTTAAAACTTTCCCCTCATCCTGTTCCTACGTGCCCTTCTAAACATTCCTTCCCCAGCTTTCCTGTAGGTCCCTTTCAGGTTCTGGAAGCCTCCCTCCAGAGCCCTCTCTTCTAGGCTGAAGAGTCCTAGCTCTCTCAGTCTGTCCTTGTAGGAGAGCTGCTCGAGCCCTCTGGTCATCTTTGTGGCCCTCCTCTGGAGCCCCTCCAAGAGCTTTATGTCATTCTTGTGTTGCATGCCCCAGAACAGGATGCAGGGTAGAGAGGTAGAATCATCACCTGTTGGCCACACTTCTCTTGATGCAACCCAGGATGCAGTTGGCTTTCTGGGCTGCAAGCACACATTGCCAGCTCATGTTAAGTTTCTCATCAACCCCAAATCCTACCCCTCAGGTTTGCTCTCAAGCCATTCTCCACCCAGCCTGTATCTGTGTTTGAGATTGCTCCAGCCAAGGTGCAGGACCTTGCACCTGGCCTTGTTGAACTTCACGAGGTTAGCATAGGCCCACCTCTCAAGTTTCTCCAAGTTTCTCTGGATAGCATCCCTTCCCTCTGGAGTGTCAGCTGCACCACTCAGCTTAACGTCATCTGCAAACTTACTGAGGATGCACTTGATCCCACTGTTCATGTTGCTGACAAAGATGTTAAACAACACTAATCACAAGCACTGATCCCTGAGGAATGCCACTCATCAGTAGTGTTCACTTGGACATCGAGCTGTTGACTGCAACTCTGAGTGCAACCATGCAGCCAATTCCTTATCCCTTGAGTGGTCCATCCATCAAATCCATTTTTCTCCAATTTGGTGACCAGGACATCGTGGGATAGCATCAAAATGTTTTGTACAAGTCCAAGTAGGTGATGTCAGTTTGCTCTTCCTTTATCCACTGATGCTGTAACTCTACCATAAAAGGCCACCAAGTTTGTCAAGCATGATTTGCCCTTGGTGAAGCCACGTTGGTTACCACCAATCACCTCGTCTTTATTTTCCACATGCCTTAATAGGGTCTTAATGGAAGATCTGCTCCATGATCTTACCATGACTGGCCTGTAGTTCCCTCGGGTTTTTTTTTTTTCCCTTCTTGAAAATGGGGTTATGTTTCCCCTTTTCCAAGGCTTTTAGCTCATACTAACAAAGAAAACATTGCTGGTAATTCCCTTGTGTTCCATCTACATTCAGCACAAATTGCTTTCTCTCAACTAGAATGTTATTTATTCCTTATTGACAAATTAACTGAGTATGAAGCACACGGTTAGTGAGAAACCAGTTTCTAAAGATCATTTCACACTTTCAGACATGATGTTTTCATGCCCTATTTTCAGTAATGCATTTCCATTTAGTTCCCAGATTTTCATTTGTTTTGTAATTAACCTTTGCAACACTAGTTAACTGGATGTTTGTTCACGTTGTTGACCTTTCTGATAAATTCATCTCTGAAACCTAAAACAAAAAATAAAATAATTCTTAACGCACCTTCCTTGGAAAAGGCCAAATTTAAATACAGTTGTGTCACTGTTACACTTTTTTTTTTTTCCAGCAACTATTTTAAAATCAACAATCTCTATATCAGTTAAGTAGCACACTCGTAGAAAGAAAGCTCACGTATGAGTGCTGACTCCTATGGTTCCTTGTTAGCTCAGCCAACTGATATTTTGAAGTTAATGGAGACAGAAGTAAAATATATTTGTATCTAAACAAAAGAAAGTTTATCATACCCACTAAAATGTTTGTTCATTTCAAGTAAATAAGTGCAAGGTTTTCCTTGCTTTGTCGTCTTATTGTTTCTTTTTGTTTGCTCGCTTGTTTTACCCCAGCACTAAGTCTTCCATGGTCAGAAATTTATTACATTACCTAAAAATAAAATTGTTGAATATTCAAGACTTCATTTCAGAAATCCAGATTCAACATTTCTACTCGCTGAAGTTTTTTGTGTAGTACTTTACCGAAGTACTTTAAATAAAAAATTATTTCTGTATTCAGTCAAGATCTTTGTTTTAAATAAAAAAAAATAATCTCAAGCAGTTATCCAACAATTTTATGACAAACTTCTACAAAATTTGTGCATCATCTTTATTTACAAACAGCCAGTAGTATAAATTTCCAAAATAGAAATAAACAATTGACAGGAATTCATTCATCCTTCTGTCGGTCTCAGCACATTTAAGCATTCTGGCATGCAGAACAGAAAACAGTATTTTTTAAAGTAATATAAACCAAAGAAAGAACAAAGATAAAAAGGATTATACTTTCAAAATCATATACATCTTACAAGTCTTATACTAGAGCACTATATAGTCTGACCGTAATGTCTCCTACTTTGCTATTAAAGAGGTGAAAAAGATTTATGTTCCTGAGAAAGGAAAATATTTTAACAAAACCAAACTGATACAAAAAATAAAATGTAAGTCTCAACATTTCTTTAAAAAAAAAAAAAAAACTTTCCCTTTTTGAAAAACAAACAAAAACTGGGTTCACATAGGAATCCAAAAGAAATCCAGATATTAGGCACTTCTAGAAAAGCAGCTACATGTACAGAATTTTTGTATTGTGTGTTCTGTAGAAAAACAACTCGGTGCAG